AATGATAAACCTTTGGCACGTTTACACATATCCCGGTTTATGTTTGTGAGTCTGAAGTAATACTTATCTGTCTTACCCAATTACTGCGAGAGCACAAAATGCTTTAAAGTACTGAATTATTCATAACTCGATAAGAATTCACCACAAATGTTTGCGTGTTAATCTAGAGCCTGCTGCTCTGAATCCCTTTAAAAGATTATTTCTTGAGTTTAGCTGACATCATTGCCTGCCATAATTAAGTTGCTTTTTGCTGGGGCAGAATTGGGCCACCAATCTGTGACGCACTGTGATTACGCTTTACATTTGGCCGCCCTTGTGGCTGCACGGGAGTCTCGTGAAATGCTTGAACAAGTGATTTAACTAGTTTAAAGGAACATTCCTGATATTGTCTCACCACACAGTCCAACTATGCAACTGTGCACATCATTTGCATGTGCCAGTATTTATCTCTATTCCTCAGTCATTATAGGACATTTGGGAATCAAAGATTTTTGATTCAACAACCACAGAACTTGTTGCAGATTTTGTTTATATCTCTCTTACCCTGGAAAAACCTTGAATGTATCGTTTACATGTCAGAGATGACAATGGATGACAAAGACGCTGCAGGACTCAAACATTCACACATTTTTATTCAGACAGACAGGGGAGGGCCTTTGGCGATTTCTCAAGGACACTTTGCTATGGCAGTGCGGAGGAAAGATGCCGTGTAGCGTTAAATGTGATAATGTCAATGACAGTCACTATCTGATTTGATTTACGACTTAGCTTTCATGAAATCAAACAGTTTAATTCCAACAGCGAGCCTGAAAATGCAAAAGCACTTCAGCTGCTTCAAAAGGGTGAAAACAGATGTGAGAAGATAAAAACAGATGTGAGAAATAAAAGCCCACTTTCCTTTACACACACACACACACATATTGCAGTGCATTGTGGCTGCACCATCTTCCAAATTCATACTCTCTGTTAATCCCTCAGTGAGAGCAGGGATTATGAGACACAACCATTTGAAAGAAGGTGGTTTTCAGCACATGCATTACTTCCACTTAATATTTTTAAAAAAGAGCAGGCACCAGCTGCTGTAGCAATGAATGTGATCTAAATGTGAGTGAGGACGCTCCTTCAGTGCCACTTAAGATGTGACAGCGCTTTGTGGAGTCAGAGGGAAATCAGTCAGGGTCAGTCAAGGACTTTTGGAGTAGTTCATCAGGGTCATCACCACCAGCAAGTCTTGCCTGCGTCATTATTGGGCCATTTAAAGCCAGAGCCATAGTTGGTAAAATATGAAAAAACACAAAGAAATGTGAACATATTTTAATACCTAATCTCAAACCTAAACCCAGAGGATTAGGCAAGTATTTGCTTTATAAAATTTCTAAATTATCAGTTTTATAAATGAGGCTTACATTTATTTAAAGTAATAGTTTTGGAGATGTGCTTAAGCTATTCATTTTCTTGCAGGGAGTTTGATGAAGACCGGAAACAAGTGGAAGCTTTGTCCACCGAAAACAAATGCTCCAACTAGCACCTCTGAAGTTTGTTTGTTTAATCTTGTGTGAAAACAAACTGCAGTTATCGCTGCTCTTAACATCTACAACTCGTCATGTTTACATTAAGTAGGCTTACAGATTAAACCAACAATATAATATGTATTAATTGTAAAATTATAGGTGCTGGTGTGGATTTTGTTACCTGTTAGTTTCCCCCATTTCCAGGGTAGACTCTCGACAGACTGCTATAAAAAGGCCAGACCAGGCCTGCAGTGTTGCTAGCGAGCCAATCTGCTAGCTATGCCTGATGTTGACCGTATGAGCTAATATCTAATTGACCACACTAACTGTTCTACAGTGTTGTTTTATGAGTTTTTATCAGAAAAATGATATAAAGGACATATTTTAGAATTGATTAATTGAAAATTACATTTGTTGTATAATAATTGGACATTGAGCTGTGCTCTCTTCATTATTATTGCATTAGCCATTGTGAACGAAGCTGATGTAAGTCATGACAGATGACACATTAAAACTTGTGAAATTGAAAAGTGTTTTTCAAAATCTGACCATCTAGAAGTGTTTGCATGGCTATTCATAATGGATATAATTTTATATTTTGGAGGGATGTTAGTAAGTTTTAGTTTCGGTTTTGAACATTGTTTTTACTTTTTTTTAAATTTGCATTGATAAAATCACAAAATTCATATTGTGTGAATGAGACTGAATTATCCGTAGATGTGTGAGTGGTGTTGGAACTTGTATAGAGTTTAGTGATGTTGAAGTGCTGATGTTTGTGACCACTTAAAAATTCATAACAGAACTGATTCGAAGTACTGCGGGTATATGTAATGCTACAGTAATTGCATCTCAGGGGGCACATCAGTAGCTGCTTGTGTGTCTGCAAGCAGATGTGCTTTGCTAAAGCGTCAGGGCTCAGATGCTCGGAGATTACCTTTAATAAGAACCTGTTACGTTTATCACCTATTGAATTAAGAGACGGGCTAACAAATGGGAGTAGAGCGAGAGAGATGGACAGATGAAAGGACTGCGAGAAATGCTCTGATTGGAAGCTTGGCATAGTTGCAGAAACTGACCAGATGTAACTATCTCTGACCAGAGATAAAAAAGTGTAAGGAAACTCAAAAGGGATCATATAGAATTATAGAGAAACCAATAAAAGAGTGACGCCTCCACAGAACAACCTAGAACTAGATTTGAAGGCTCTCTTGTCAATAAAGCCTGTTCAAGTTCTGACATTTACGAAACATATTGCAATTCTTCTTCCTGATGATGTTTGAATGCCTTTGACCTACTTTATTTTGAAGTGTTGCTGCCCTGAACAATGCATTTATGGATCACTGGTGATTTGCAGTGTAATAATGATTAGCAGCATTATTACACTGCTGTTCTTCTGCAGCAGTCTTTACACTGGGGTCAATATTAATCATGAGAAAGCGATGTGATGTGTGACAACATATTCCAGGAAAATGAACCATTGACCTCAGCACTTTCCTTTTTCAACAGCCTTGGTGTAAAAACGGAGAACACATTTGGTTACAGCGCCAGACTGCAGCATGAATCCTGGCAACTTTGTTTATATCAAGATGAGTGTAATGTGTCATCTATACCTCAAACTAAATACCCTCAAACTATGAATGAACATCGCAAGTGCGTCAGTGGATGAGCTGCAGCATAATTAAAACATTCCTAGAGTCATGCACATCCCCAATGCACACTCTTATCTCTTGTGTTATTCGACAGAGATCTGCTATTTTGAATCAACCTGTAGGCTCTGAGAAATGAGGTCAGATGTAAACAACATTGCTGGAGGAATCCAGCATTTCAACACAGTGACATTTCTATGTGGGGAACAGAACAAGACCACTGGTGGAAGAAGAGCAAATATCCAAATGCCACAGGAGGCATAGACACACCTCACACAACCAGCAGAGAAGCTGTGTTGTCGTCATTTGGTGTGTCTGTGAAAAAAACAGATGTTTAGTGTTTAGTTCAGCATTTTCACAACCCAGAACAGTTTGCTTGTGTTCAAAAAAGAGTGTTCCTTGTTTGTGTGTTTATACATGTTTATGGTGATGATATTATAAGGCTTCCGAGTGTTCATAATTATTGTTTATAAGTTTAATTGACAAGGACCAAGTATGATAAACTGATACATTTAAATACTTTAAATCTGATGCATTACATATAGCAGAGAGAGAGCAACGATTTAATTTTCACCCAGTTGTACAAAATACAGATAGCATGCACATTAGATACAACAAGCACTATAAAATGCTATTCACCATGTACAGTCACAGTATACATGTGGTATTTACAGAACAGTTGTGGTTGTTTAATTAGTTAATAACAATTCACGAGATTAAAATTGAGATTAAATTTGCATTCTTGATTCTGTCTTATCCTCATAAACTTCAAATTAATGTAATCTGCAGTCATAAATGTATTTAACCATTTAAAAACACTATTTCTAAAACATTTTTATAAAAGATGTTAAATATATGCCGTTTTGCTGGGAGTTATTTGATGGCGTAGTGGATAGGACACATGCCTTTGGTGTGAGCGACCCCTATTCAACTCCCCACTATGACACGTCCACCAAAGTGTCCCTGAGCAAGACACTTAACCCCTAGTTGCTCCAGAGGCGTGCCACCTCTGATAAAAATAGCAATTATGAGTCGCTTTGGATAAAAACATCAGCTAAATGAATAAATAATAATAGATATTTGAAAAAAAAATTTTTTTATTTCAATTCATTTAACGATACATTGTTACAAATAATTAATAACAGTAGGCTATAAATAAATATACTGTAAAGTAAATATACAAATACGTAAACAAACGGTAGACAAAAATCTAATAATTTAATAACCTAAATAAATACATACATAGCCTAGGCTACATAAAACATGCCAGTAGTCAACATAAATCAATAGAAAGTAATTCAAAAGAAAACATCAAATTGGGAGCTCAGTATGGTAGTTTTAATAGCTTTCTTGTTTTTTCATTACAACACATCACTGTATTGACAAGGCTATGAAATTGAAGGCTACATCATGTCCACACAGTTAGTCCCAACTAAACCGGAGATTATTTTGAGGCTTTGGTTTCAAATTAAAAGTGTGACATGTTTAAGTGCATAGCCTACAACATGAAATACTGCAACATCTGTTGCCTATTTTTTAAGGGCCTATATATTATACATGTCCTTCTCTAAATAATACGGCCCGTGTTCGTCTCGAAACGCTCCAAACATGTAGGTCAAAAAAACATCTTACTTTGAAAGTACAGCCGGAAATGTTGACGTTTATAGTCTGTGTGGTTTGACAGTGGTACATTGACCCAGTTTCAGAGAAAGGCAGTCTCGGTTGGTTTGAATCAGCTGCGCGGGGAACGCGTGGAGGGGCGGCTTGGAACAGTCTCTCGTGTGTCGTATCTCACTCACACCGCGCGCAGCACAATGCTGGGAAACAAGTTTTTATCCACGCAATGAATCCTGCCAACGAAACCAGAACCGGGAGAGGTACAGAACCTTACATTTTCACAGCTGGCACCTACAAACTTCTGGCTTTTACCATCGGGACCATTGGAGTATTCGGCTTTTGTAATAACGTTGTTGTCATCATCCTCTACTGTAAATTCAAGAGACTGCGGACACCCACCAATTTGTTGCTGGTCAACATAAGTTTGAGTGATTTTCTGGTTTCTGTCATCGGAATAAACTTTACGTTTGCTTCTTGCGTCAACGGCGGATGGACTTGGAGTCAGGCAACATGCATCTGGGATGGCTTCAGCAACAGCTTATTTGGTGAGAGAAATAAAATGAGGAAACGATGTTTATTTTACAAGCGTGTATTTCACATTCATCAATAGGCTGTTGTCATTTGTTGTTTAAACTTTTTAAACAATTAGTTCAAGACAAATGTATTTCAGCTTTACCTCTATTTCCCCATAATTGCTCGTTTCTCACTTATCTACTAAAATCGGATTCTGACATAATCCATAATAAATGCACCATAACGTAATGCAAATATGTAGAAGGCAGAGATGAGCTCATCCACAATATATTACTATAAAGTATATTCCAAATAAAAAAATATTTATTTATTATAAAATGTATGTAAATATAGGCTAAAGCTGAGCATCATATAGCTATTGTGCACACTTCCTCACAGAATATGTGGCCGGTTAAAATACAGATTGGGTCAAAAACAGTTTACTGACCATCCAGTCTCACTTCATAATGAGCTGCAGTAAAATCTAAAGACCTTGAAACCGTTTGAATAATATAGGTACTGATACTGATGCTACTTGTTAAATGAAATGTATGGGGTTGATTGTTCTTATGTAGATTGCACTTTTGCAATGTTGTTGTTACACATTCATGCCAATAAAGCTTTGAATTAAATTGAATAATATAGCCTATATTATAGGGGAGACCGGGGATGGTTGTAACACTGAATTTTTGTGTTAGAGCTCTCGAAGTTTGACAGAAAGTACCCCAATTTGACCACTACAAATAGCTTTGTTTCCAACTTCTCCAACTTAATCACATAACTTATTAATTGATGTCAACTATAAGGAGTTCCAGAGTTACAACCTGCCCTGCAGACAGAAATTGAGACCACAACACAAAAATGCATCTGAAGAAAATAATTGTCCATGTCGCAATACTTGAGCAGTGTGGTCCCATCAGAGAACAAAAACAACTCACCACTGACTTTTCACTAAACAATGACATTTCACAAAACAAAATATCACAAAATAACAATATTTCAAAAAATAACAATATTTCAAAAAATAACAATATTTCAAAAAATAACAATATTTCACAAAATTACATTTCACAAATAACATTTCACAAAAGAAAATTTCACTCAATAATGACATTTCACACAATAACAACATTTCACAACATTACATAAAACAAAATTTCACAAGTAACATTTCACAAAAGAAAATTTCACTCAATAATGACATGTCACACAATAACAACAGTACATAAAACAAAATTTCACAAATAACATTTCACAAACTAACAACATTTCAAAAAATAACATTTCACAGAATAACATTTTACAAAATAAAATTTCACAAAATAACGACAATTCACAAAATAACATTTGACAAAATAACGACATTTCAAAAAATAACGACATTTCAAAAAATAACGACATTTCAAAAAATAACGACATTTCACAAAATAAAAATATTTCATGAAATAACAACATTGCACAAAATATTATTGCACAAAAGAACAACATTTCTGAAAACACAACGGCATTTCAGATTACTATACCACTAACAGTGGCCCTAATACTCTACAACAACAACTTTTGGTTTATATTAACCGTTGCGTAACAAATACATTGACACTGACGGTGTTAATTTAGAATTTTTTAAATCAAAATTAGTGCTAGAGACAATTCATTATTTACTGGATATTGGAAGGGACATGTCCCTACTGTCCCTACCTAATTCTACTCTCTTGCTGTAATCTGAAATGTCATGGGGGGTTTATTGTATGTAGTTTGTATGATGCTTTGGCAATATTGTTGTTACACATTCATGCCAATAAAGCTAATTTGAATTGAATTGTAAAATGTTGTTGTGTTTTGACCCTCATGGCTAGTGTACTAATCTAATAAAAGTTTCATAGAATTCTAACGTCAACTGTATAAGTATTAATCGAAATATAGACTTTATCCAAAAAATACCTTCTTACATGAAAATCAGTGTTTTGGCTGTAATGTCTGCATACTTCTTCAAACATATGTGACATTTCACATGCAAGGTCAGGAAGGAAGCGCTCATGCATGACATTGATCACAAATTTTAGGTCATCCCTTCTTGAATGAAAGTGGTGCTTTTACAAACGTCCCTTTGTCACAACCATCCCTGGTCTCCCCTACTATTTCTTTCTTTCTTTATGAAACGGCATGTGTGTTAGTGAGCATATTCTGCAGGTCATTGCTTCATTCAGAGGAATGTTAATCTCAGCATCCATTTTTCTGTAACACATTTATTAGAAAGCATAACTGTGTTCAGCTGTGACTTGTCCTCTAAGGGTTTGTTCTCCAGGTCCCACGCCTGTAGGAGGATGAATGTGTGATAATGAGCTCATTAGGGCAAACCCTCAATCCTTTGGTGCTTTATCAGTAAACTAAACACAGAGATGCACTGGACTGTTGCCCTCTTCTTCAATCATCTTATTGTCCTTTACTTGACATTGGCTTCTTTGCACATGATCTAAAGAACATGTTTACCTGCCAACTGTGTTGATCTGGTTTTCACTGAAAAAATGTCACAGAGGAGATTTTCAAATCAAAAGCTTAAAAAGTGTGTTCTTTCATCACTGAAATGACACTGAGCAGAAAGGATGTGGTGTCCTACTGCTTTGGCCCGCACTCACATGGAGAAGGACAAACCTGCCAGAAAATGGAGATTTCAATTACAGTGACCCTTTTTTGTCATTCACAATACAGTAAAGCAGCGTAAAATGTTCAAACCGTATGTGCTGCCTGACATTTTCACATGTGAAACCCCAAGGTCAAACAGATAGCCATGGCATGATTTGGTAAGAACATCACAAATATGGAGAGCCTGGCTCCCAGCACCCATGCCTGATAAAATGAGTACAGTATGGCTCCCTAGTGACACAGGTTGTAATATTAAAAAAATGATGTGTACAAAAAGTCTATAGCTCTATCTGGGTCCTCTAATCCTCTATGTAAGAAAATGCCGTAATCCTTCCAGCTTATTTATTCCTCAGAGGAGACTGGTGTCAGTGTGCCCGACACACATGAGCCGCAGGGGCAGCAATAAGCAATAAGGCAGTTCTGTCAATGCACATCTGTCGTACTGAAGCTCTAGCTGAGTGCATAATCTGAAACAAATCACTGTATAGTGTGTTTGTAATTTGTGGGCCTGTTCATTGACACTTTTTTGTGTGTTGCTCCCATAAAATCAAGAGATGTAGAGGGTTTTACATTATGTGATTGAATGTTAGATACAGAAAGGGTATGTGTGATGTGTATTAACTAATTTAAACTTAATCAGTTTTAGATACTGTACCATGACTCTAGCTTGCAGATGTGCTGTTTATGTGCCATAGAAAAGTGGGAGCAAAATGATGCACAAGATGAACATAAGCTACAAATACTTTAATATAAGATGCATAAACCATTAGAGAGAGAGAGTGGTGTAAACATTCTCTTTCTGTGAGATTTCAAGGATTCACAACCAATGCTTGAATGTGATGTTCAGCACCAAGATGTACCAAATTGTGTTTATACAGAATATGACTCATTCAGACCAAAGAGATGCTGAGTAGCCACTGACCCAGATCTTGCAGTGAGGGCTCTGCTTTACTCACCACAGCTATCTATCTGTCTCCCTCCACTGCCAGGTATCGTTTCCATCATGACTTTGGCAGCCCTGGCCTATGAGCGCTACATCCGGGTGGTCCATGCGCAGGTGGTGGACTTCCCCTGGGCATGGCGGGCCATCGCCCACATCTGGCTGTACTCCCTGGCCTGGACAGGTGCTCCTCTGCTAGGCTGGAACCGCTACACATTGGAGATCCACCAGCTGGGCTGCTCCCTGGACTGGGCATCTAAGGACCCAAATGATGCCTCCTTCATCCTCTTCTTCCTCTTGGCCTGTTTCTTTGTTCCTGTGGGCATCATGATCTACTGCTACGGAAACATCCTCTATACAGTGCAAATGGTAAGCCATGACATTGCACTTTGCTGACTTTATGACTCTTGTCCACTTGTACTACTGTTACACTGCAGTTTTGCATTTAGCATCATCCCATAATTGTTACTTTTACAAATTACAAAGATGTTACTTTTCTTGTCATAACTTCATTCCTAGTTCCCTAGTTCCTGATTAGCATTATCTCCATGGGTTTCTGCTGCCGCACCACCAGACTGCAGAGCAGCTTTTCTCCCCAAGCTATTAGAATTTTAAACTCAAATTCACCCTCAGCACTGCATTTCTGGTTACCATTGTTAAAATTGCTTTTATATTACTGTATATTGTCTGCTACGTAGCAGAAGGGAGTTACAAACTCAATTTCACTTTACAACCTGTTGTTGTAATGTGACAAATGAATCTACCATGTACCTTGTTCTCACCTACTATACCTTCTTCTATAGTTTGCCTGGTTCCAAACCACAGTGCAAAATTCTCAGTTTTTAGTCTGTGAACTCACTCACTAAAAAGAAAAAACTCCACCACCCTAAGACAGTTGCATTGGATGTGTTCACAAATGCATTCAAGGCCATTTAAGGCCTTTCAATAGTCAAACTGGGAGGCTGCCCACCACAAACTTTGATCCACACCAGCAACGATCTGGTCACATGACATCATGTCTCATTGTTAGACCAACATCCCCCTCAGGATAGCAACTTACTCTCTCCTGTTTCTTGTAGCTGCGCTCCATCCAGGACCTCCAGACGGTTCAGATCATCAAGATCTTGCGGTATGAGAAGAAGGTCGCCGTTATGTTTTTCCTCATGATCTCCTGCTTCCTGGTGTGCTGGACGCCCTACGCTGTCGTGTCCATGATGGAGGCCTTCGGCAGGAAGAACATGGTCTCTCCCACAGTGGCCATCATCCCCTCGTTCTTTGCCAAGTCTAGCACTGCCTACAACCCCCTCATCTATGTGTTCATGAGCAGGAAGGTTTGTGGTTCTAACGTTCCTTAAATAATATATTTGAAAACTGCAGTAAAAAACAATTCATGTTTTGTTTTTTTTTGTCAATACTTCCAGTCTCAGAAATACAGTTTACCTTTTCCTTTTCTTGTTTTTAAAACATATATGCATATGTCACATACACACATAAAACCAATTGAAATGAAAGCATGAAAGCATGGTTTCCCACCCCTGTTCTGAAGGTATAGAGGGTAAATTAGGTAAACATTTAGCCACAAAATTGTGAGATTGAAAATAACGAAACAGATGAGTAACAGGGAGGAAGATGGCAAATTGGCAAAACTATCAAAAACACAATCTACATATAAATGTCTGACTTGTGTAAGACCAATGTCATACCACACAGAAAATGTCGAGTCCGAGAGTGATGGAGGAAATAAATGGTTGTTATATAAAAAGACCCAAGGAAGATGCAGATGCAAGGCTAGATAAAGAACGAGTCATATTAATACCTAGGTATTTAAACCCTGACGGACTAAATTGAAAAGGTAAATCTGACTGTTGAATTTCACATGCTACATGGGAAAACACTCACTTTTCCCCAAATGTTAAAACCTGAAAAGGTGCTGAAATTCTCCAGAATACTTAAATGGGTGATTCCTTTAAATAATGGGGAAGATCTTAATGTAATAGACAGGGGCTCGATAGCGATGGCAAAGAGCAAAGGTGATAAAGGAAAACCTTGGCGACATCCACGTTCAAGGGCAAAATAATCAGAACAAACATCATTGGTATGGACATTGGCCTTAGGGGACAAATCAAGGAGGCGAATCCATGAAATAAATCTATCACCAAATCTGAATTTCTTTAAGACTGCAAACAAGTACTCTCACTCTACCCTATCGAATGCCATTTCAGCATCTAAAGAAATCACGAATTCAGGAAGTTCAGCCGAATGTTTTGAGTAAATTATATTGAAAAGTGTACGGGTATTAAAAAACAATTGATGGCCCTTTTATAAAACCGTTTTGCTCTTTGGATATAATATGAGGATTCACACATTCTCTAGGCGGGATGCAGTTACTTTAGCTAACACCTTTACATCAGCATTAAACAGAGATAATGGTCTGTAGGAACCACAGGAGGTTGGATCTTTGTACCTTTTGAGAAAGAGAGCTAAAAAAAAGAAAAAAGAAACGATTCATGTTTGCTGGAAGGAACTGTCACAGCTGGGTCAACTTTATGACCTTAATGGAACATCAGTTAACTGTGTGCCTCTCCAGCACAAATGTCTTATTCTGTGCAGGTGGTGAGACTGGCGTCAGTGAAAAAGTTCAACATTAATTGGTCAGACCAGGTTCTCCTGCCGTCTAGAATACATTATATGTCTGCTGGAGCGTTCTAATGGGCACTTCCTGTGTGTTCAGTTGATTTTTTCCCCCTCCACTGACCACAGCTGACCTGTCTGTGGACAAATAGGGCAAATCAATGGCATCTCAATCAGGGGCGATGGTTTGTTCTCCTCTTGTGCTGCTTCAGCGTGTGGTTTGAGAATTACAACCAGGAGTAATTTTATATTTTTAAAAGAAACTTTTTTAATGAGCACGAAATAGTGCAGAAGTACATTTTTGAGAGGTAAAATTTTGCACAAATGTGGGAAAAGGTCTGCAGTTTAGTATGTTTTAGATTTTAGTATTTCTATTACATAAAGCCTTAATTTGTAGAGTCACATTTATTTTCTGTGAAGCAGTGAAATTGTCACTTACACTGGTCTTTGTTTGCTGGAATCCTTAGAGGCTGATATCAAGTGAGTGAAGTTTCATCCCTCTGTTAATTACCATCCTTTTATGTCTCCCTCTCCTTCTCTTCCAAATCATGCTCTCACAGTTCCGCCGCTGTTTGCTGCAGCTGCTCTGTTCGCGCCTCTCTTGGCACCTCAACCTCAAAGAGCGCCCCCTGGCTCCTGTCGAGCGCCCCATCCGACCAATCGTTGTGTCCAGGGCGTGCGGCAACAGGGACCGACCCAAGAAGAGGGTGACCTTCAGCTCCTCCTCCATCGTCTTCATCATCACCAGCAATGACTTCCACCACCTGGACGTGAGCTCCAAGACTGAAAATTCCAAGGAGGTTAATGTCATTCAAGTGAGACCACTATGATTCACAAGTTCCGGACTTCTCACCCCACCACTCAGTATGCCTTAGGATTTAACATGCAATTCCAAGCCAAAATAATCCTGTCTGACCTCCCTGGACATGTGTATCCACACAGTTACAGATTTGTTACAACTAGGTGTAAATATCTAACTGTCAGCCCAAGAATTAAACTTAAACTTTCCTGACAGTATTCCAAGCAGGTAGTATGAAAGTGTGACATCCTCATCTAACATCAACTGTGGTGATATAAGTACATTATGTAGTTAACAACTAGTAATATATTTCTCTTAGGAAAAGAATCACACTTATTTGTCAAATATGCCACACAGTACATGCGACAACTGCAGAACTGTGTTGGGTACTTAGAGGCCAGCTGTGTTATGGATCAACATGTAATAGCTGATTTTTTTTTGGTTGGTACCCAACTGTGTGTAACACAGAAAATAAGCCTTAGCTCCTTAGCCATAAACCATAATGCACAAACTGACATTATTGTGTATGGATTCAATAAAGAGATGCTATTTTAAGCTACCTTGCTTGTGTACCTTATCTCTATTTCAATCAAAATTTCCAGTGTGTCGAGAGCTATCACAGTGAAATGACATTTGGGTGATTTATATGTAGGAGGACTACAGGAGTGTAATTAGATAAGAGGAGATGAGACTGGGACTCAGTATACTGCAGTGAGACACACTCCTTTCATAACCTCCTGGGCTGTCAGCTATGAATAGACGTGATGAATGGATTTCCATAGCTGATAAAACCCTTATTCAGTGATGAAGTGAGTTATTAGATTTTTTTTCCCGAACATGTTAAAGAAAGAACAAAACAAGAATAAACAAAAATATTAATAGCAAACAAATACAACAAACAACTTCAATATTTAATGTCTAAAAAGGAGTAGGACAAAGTGAATATTTATCAAGTCCTACACTCTTTTTTAAAATATTTTATCAATAAACTGGTAAACATTAACATTCGTTTACTTATTTAACGATATACATGTTTTAATTTACTCAATACAGTTGAAATTTCTCTCAAATCGTGTTGACTTTCTCTCATTGGAAACAGCTTTTGGATACTATATTAGGTAATAACTGATTTTTGCTTTGTCTGTGAAGTATAAAATCTTATTATCAATCATTCTCTATAAGTTACAACAATCATGTTTTCAGTACATTAAATTGCCTGGCAGAGCCTTCATTGATTTCATTAGAAGATTCAATCAAACTCTAATTAAAATGGGGATCCTCTCAGTTCATTCTTGCGTTTGATGCTCCATTCTTTGCACTTGTCACTGCCAGTGCTCACGGTGTCCTGAGGGCAACAAGCCTGTTCCACATTTTCTCAGTGGAGAGGACGAGCTTGTTGATATCAGGAGGATTTTTAATGAGCAGGTAGGAGCCTCCCAAAACAGCTCCTGCAGCACTGAACAGCAGGCCACGGTTTATCACCTGTGAAAAATTTAAAATAAGCTTGAATTCAGTCTTGTCAGCTTTATGCGCAAACACTTATTGGTCCCTCACCCCCTCACCTAAGGCTGAATTCTATTTTGAGTCTCTCAAAAGCATTAAGCACATTTTAACAAAAGAATGCCCTGTCATGCTTTACCTTACATGGGTCCCAAAGTTTTTAAACTGCTTTGTAGAAAGGAACTGACATGTTACTATACATTTATAAGAAGGCCTTATTGTAATTGGAGCTAATTATGGGGAAATGGAGTCAGTATACCTATATAATATTTTATTCAGTGCCCAATACATCAGCTGAACATGTAAAAATGTTTCTTCTAATCATACCATTACATACATTTACAAGCATACAATCAAACAAAACAAAGCATACAATTCAACAAATGTGAAGAATAAAGTTTCCAAGAATAAATGAATATTTACTTGGGTTTAATGGATCTTGGTTTATAAGAATTTAGCAGTTCTTCCTGCAACTGACTATTCTCAAATAACGCACTCGCAAGATAATGTCTATATTGTTTTTTACTACTTTAGTAATAAAAAACAGTTCTAGTTAATTTGATGACAACACTGAAAATCAATCAATCAAAATGGACTATGGTAGTTAACTGGCACACCTTAAATGAAGATGTCTGTGAAGGTTCTCAGTCATCCAAGTCATAGTTATCCGAGGAATGTTAAAATCCAGGGCAGCTGGACTGGTTGAAGATACTGGAAGACGTCTGGCCTCTCACTGAAAAACTTCTTCATTGAAGAAGTTTTTCGGATGAGGCGAAACGTATGTGAGTATCATCTTCAAGTGTCTTCAAACAGTCCAGTTGACCTTGATTTTAACCTTCCTTGGATCTTAAGTGAAGGGTTCTCTCATCATTCATTTTGAGAGATTGATGTCCACATAGCAACAACATTAGGAAAAAGCCTTGCTAGCGGCTCTGTGAGGCTGGTGTTTTGTCCTAAATGCTAACATCAGCATGTTAACATTCTCATTTTGGCAAAGCAAATGTGCTGATGTTTAGCAGGTATAATGCTGATCATGTTCACCATCTCAGCTTAGCATGCTAACGTTTGCCAGTCAGCAATAAACACAAAGGTAAAGTATGTGAATGTTCGTTTTGTATGTATTTGGTAGTCACCTGCATGGGAGAAATTAAACTTTGACCTAATGGCATTTGTGCTAGATGACAACAAATTTCATGTCAATCTTGTTGAGATATTTCACTCAAAACAATTAATATAAACCACAGACTTCTATTTTTCCATCAATATCACACTATTTTATTAATTTGTTACATGTTCTACTACTGTACTGTATTTGCCGCTTCATACAGCAGTTTTTCTTCCCTCCATAAAGGTCATTTTGCCCTTTACACCCAGACATCCCTACGGGTTTAAACAATTTACAGGGGAGGCTGTGAAATCCTTGCTTTCCTACTAACAGTGGAACATTTAGAGCAGAGGCCATCAGAACAGTTCACATCACACAGTTCAACACAGAGCCAAGGACTCATCTACACCCAAATGGGAGAAAGCAGAAACATTTCTCTGTGCATCACAGCTCTGAGTTTGTGGTAGAATAAATGAAATGTTTCTAAAAGGGGGTGTATTTACCCAGTGAGAATCACATTTGCCTTTCATGCTCTGTGCTGATAATAGCGCGACTTCAAAAGAGTGCCAAATCACAATACTAAGATGTTCAAGTATGAAATATGCAAAAAGCAAACAGTATGCAAGCAAGAACTAAACAAAAGAATGTCTTACTTTTTCTTGCCAATGCCAGCGTTCCACGGCTTCATGGTACCTTGTCCTTGTGAAAGTGACCTGGAGACAGTGAAGGGCGACATATGAAATTGATTTTGCCTTAGACCAAGCAATGTGTCAGTGATCATTTTGTTTATTAGGACACTTACCATTGTGTAAAGCGGTATTATTGTATTTGGCATGAGGAAGTGGAGGAAGTTATCAACACGTTTTCTGAAAAGGAACCATTTGGAGTTGACATGGGCTCGCATCTAAAAAGAAAAAGCACATGTGTCAGTGAAGCGAACCATCTGTCCTTCGTATTGTAATGTTAAGTAAATCTTACAGCCATATCAGAAACTCCAGACAGTCTCCTCTACTCTCTTGGCCATAACTGCAGTAGAGGGATGATTAAGCTAGAGCAACATGCTAGGGTCAATTTTAAGGTCTATTAGAATAACGAGAGTGCTCGGACCAATTATTGAGTGCATGAATTTTACAGTAAGCAGATGGTTCAGGAGCTGTCTACCAGTCAGATGTGAAGGAGAGTGCAAATATCTACAGATAAGGGGGTTCACTCTAATTGCTGGTTTTAAATTAGCTGACTGGTAACAGCAAATGCTGTTAAATATCAAGGATTCAGTCTGGAAGTGTTGTTGTCTTTTGTCTTTGAGCCACTTAGCTCTTAGCACCTTCACAGTGAATCACTGTTTGTGTATAGTAGACTGAATCACTCTCAATCAGTCACTTCTTGAGATTATTGCCTACAGTGTGTGGTGCATTAGTTAGTGGTCATTACTTGATCCATTCCCAATGGTGGAATGTAACTAAGCACATTTAATCTAGTATTTGAAATTTTGAGGTACTTGTTCTTTCCTTTTTATTATTATTCCTTTTTCCATTTTAAGCACAACAGAAATTTTATGCATGTATGGATTGTTTTTACTTCACCACAATACATTTATTTCACAGCTGTAGTAAGGAGATCCAGGTTTTACATGTAAAACAGAAGATCAGCCCAGGATTAATGGTGAATGACGTTTTGGCCTTATATCTACTTTGTATACAATGACATAGGTCCAATATCCACTCTCATTTTTGTTCTGTTTTTCTGCCTCTTTAGCTGCTAAATGCTCCACTATGTTCACCAGCTAGTTGCTAACTTTTTCTGTCTGCTGTTTGGTCTGAGCAGGTAGTCGAAAACAACGTTGATGCGAGCATCAACTGTGGGCCAGTAAACCAAAACAAACAGTTATATATAAAGCTCTGCAGAGCTGAGGGGAACTGCAGTTGGTGATTATTCTCTGTGGGTTGATCACTACAAGCGACATCTTTCACGTCACACATCATTACTCATTTGATCCATTTTTATTATAAAAAATATGAATCAAGCTAAAGCTAAAGTTAATGACTTACCTGAATGCAGTTTATTGATAAATATAAATATCTGACTAATTTTTTTTACATGGTTCATTGATTTAGAAGGAATTGGAAGGAATATTTACAGTGTTTACAGGTCATATTTACAATCATAAGTTAACTTTTAAAATGCATAAAAATCTAATTTATACTACATTGGTAATATCTGAGAATAGTTGACTATGATTGTTGCTTCCTATTAACTGCACTTTCATTGCTTGAGAATATTCTGACGAGAAAGTAATGTTGGGGGCAGTCAGGCAAGTAGAGTGTGCAGTTAATCAATTCCTAATAGATACCATAACCCCCATTTTAAAAGTGGCAATGTTGTGTATTTTAAAGTATGAGGTTTAATTTGACATTATAATGAATACTTAAATAAATATGCATTACTTCAACATAGTTGTACATGGCCAGGTCTGCAATTGCGTGGTCATCTGGAACTCGCACCCTGGAATACTCTGGCAGCACAGCACCTAGGCGGATCCAAAGAGGAAAACAGACAGATTTCTTATGAATTGTCAGTTCATTCTCTCTCTGTGTCTCATTTAATCTTTGTTCTTTTAAAAAGTACTTACTGAAATCCTCATTGAGCTGTTCCATTATTTCTTCAAAGACAATGCAGTCCTCAAAGCCCTATGAAGCACGAATGGATGAATGAGTCTCCATTTAATTAATTCTTTTCTGCTTTTCTCTTCCTCCTTTTCTCTTCCTCCTTTCTCTTCCTCCTTCCTCCTTGTTACTTACAGCGTTCATCCCCTGCCCATAGAAAGGTACCACTGCATGGGCTGCATCACCCATAAGAACACATTTGTCTCCAATGTGATATGGGGAGCACTTGACAGACACCATGGCCTGCCCAGGCAATCGGAAATAATCCCTTTTGAGATTATCACTGCGGGACACAAATGGAAGTTAAAAATTACAAACTCATTTCAGGCTATTCGTTTTGACAGTCGTATGTTTCGAAACAACAGGCTCTGGTTTTTGCTTGCAACAAAAGCGTCTGTCACATCTGAGTAAGCTAAAACAACCATGCTCCGTCTGCCCTGGTGAAGTTAAACAGCCAAACAGAGGAACAAAAGCATGCGTTGAGTTGTTTATGCCTGAGCACTCCAAATAAAGCTAACTCAGAGAGGAAGTGAGTGAATGAACGCCTTAAGGGATTCTACAGTTCATGCCTCCACTCTCCCTCCGTCACCCACAACAGACGGTTCACCCCAAATTAAAACCTTCATTGCACAAAGCCTTGTAACAGTAAGGCTGCAATTTCACACTTCATAGATCATGGCAGTGAGATGACAGGATGATGGGAAATTTAAGTGTTTTTGAAGACGACATGGCAGGTTGGATGAAGAGATAGAGGCAGAGGGGGAGAAAAGGGGGAGACAGAGACAGACAGTGGGAGGGGGGGGGGGGGGGGGGGGTTGAGAAAGTCCACTTACACTCCTATTAGTGGTATGGCGTCAGGGAAGTATTTCTGGAAAAACTCGATGACTTCATCTCCTGTGGTGATCTTCTCAAACTCCTCAAAGGGCATGAAGAGGGTACAGGTAAATGTCTTGTCCTAAATTTGAAAACAAACACAGTGCACAGTGATGTTAGCCCTCAACCCCACACACTTCTTGCAAATTAAATTGAGTCATCTTTATTTACACTAAGACAAAACACTTGGTTACAAGATGCTTTACAAGAGGGACTTTTAAGGTAAAAATATTTTAAATATAGTACAATATTTGCCTTTAAAATGTAGTAGCAGTTTAAAGTAACATGAAAAAATGGAATGTAAAGTACAAACACCTCAAAATTGTACTCTAGTACAGTAAAGGTACTTACTTTCCACAACTGATGGTCACAATGACCATGGTCACATGCTGATTTTTAGCAGCTGTAGTGTTAACCATACGCATCACCATATTCAGTGTGTAAGCATGCAAACATTTGCTAATTAACACCTTATTCAAAGTACAGCTGAGGTTATTGGGAATGTCTGCAGGTATTGCAATGTTTGCAGGTATTTGGTAATAAACCATAGTACTGCAAACAATTAGAGCACAATTATAAAATCTTTATTTTGACTTTTCCTTAATTGTTTTTGTAGAATATCTAAACTAATGCATTTGTGTTGTTCAACTGTCTGGGGTTCCATTCACAAAAGTTTCTATATTCTGTATGCTGATGATGCAATGTAACACAAATACAGTGTGCTAAAATATCTTAGCACATAAAATATTCTTGACCCAAGATTCACTTACTTTGCTATTCACAAAGCTTTCAGGTGTATCCATGCAGGAAGACACGGCCAAAGGTTTCGGGAACAATTAAGTAAGGGGACCTTGCATTTAGAATAATTTATCACACGTGTTCTCAAGGTCATCATTGACCCCTTGCACTCACAAATCAAGCATCCTTTTGTACATGCTGCATCCTGTGGTATACTGTGTTATGACAGAAAATTGTGTCCTCTTACATTTAATCTTTTATGTATGTTCTTTTATTATTATTATTATTACTATTACTATTATTGTTATGTCTTATATATATATATATATATATATATATATATATATATATATATATATATTGTGTTTTCATCCTTAACTTTTCCTATACTCGGTATGTTAGTCCGTGCACATTTACTAGGGTTTAGGTCAGAGCTGTGAGATTGTTTTGGTGTTTTCCCCTTATTGTTGTTCCTCTCCTCTCCTGGAATGTTCATTCAAGGCCAAGAGAGGATCTCTGTTCCCCAAAACATAGAAACCTAGACTGTGTAAATGATTATGCATCCCTTTGCTCAGGGCCAGACGCCCGAAGCCACCTTAGGTGGCAGGTCTCTGGACCAGCTGTATATGTGTTTTAGTACTTCTGTTTATTCTCTTCTATTAATAAATTCTTCAAAGACAGCAGTTGGTTGTAACTCAATTCTTTGCTCAACCCCTCACCAGGAATATAATTTCCACGACAATTTGGCGACCCAGATGGGACGGATGAGGGATTCGGACTCTGTTGAAGGACAGAAGCCAGCTTAAAATCCTCCCAGTAGGGGAGAAGCTGTGTTCAGCAGAGCCCGGATCTTCGCACCGTTCCAGAAAGAAAAGGAAAAGAACTTAACGGTGAGAAATGAGTAGATAATCAGTGAAAAGATAAAGACATCCACTGCTAGTGCACAGAAGAAAATGTGCTCTGCTCCAGTAAAAGTCCGATAAAGAGACCTTGGCTCTCCCTCCAGATTCCCAGAGAAAGAAATGCCAAGAAAATAGGAATATTGACATTTAGGACATTGTTAAATCCATGCCTCACGTGACCAGACTGACCGAAACCTTTGACAGCTCCACAGACACAGCTGGAGCAGTTTGGATAAGATTGTCAAAGAGTATGGCCCACAATGACTGAGATAAACACAGCATTGAAGAAAAGCTGGACTTCCACAAGATCAGCATTACGATAAGATAAGATGTTCCTTTCTTAATAACCATCATTATCATCATATGTCACTCCAGCCAGATAAGAAGGAAAGCAGTTAGAAGTATGCTGAGTACAGCAAAGCACAATGCACAGTCCAGAATTACCACTGGATTAAGTTCTGCCTGTATGATGCAGCCCAGCAGCTGAACAGCAAGAACAGACTGAATCATGTAGGACTCTCCTAGTCCGTATGACCATATCCTACAGCGGCCTGGAACAAGATGCAATGAGACCCTAAAAGTTATGAGTTTGAGTAGTCCAGAAACTGCTGCTGGAGTAATGAAGAGTATTTCACAGCATGTGACATCATGGAAGACAGACAGCACGAAAGAGCATGCTTAACATACAGAAGATCAACATGAAGACAAAGCAAGAAGACAACTGTCAAAAGAAAATGATTGGTGCTGTATCAAGCCATCCTGGTACAAAGAAATGGACAGTAAAGAGGGATAGGGCAAAGTAAAGGGCAAAAGTGGACATTGGAAAAGAGATTTTGCACAATTTCTAAAACAGACTGGCAAGAAAAAAAAAGGAAAACACATGGACTGAGCTGGAGGGGGCGGGACGGACGCTAGTGACAGGATCCAGCGTTACAACCTCTCACAGATAAAGTAAGAATCTTAAAGACATTGAAACTAAAATGAATACCATATTAAGATCTTAGTAAGTAATACTAAACTTGAACATCCAATGTTTGTAATGAATACTGAGCACTGGGAAATTATCAGATTAGGTCAAACCAAGCAGGAAGAGGGGCAGATGTTGTATATATGGTATTATGTGGTATGTGATTTTGATGAAACATGACAAAACTCATTTCGGCAACCAGAGCACTGGGAATGGGGAGAGAGGCTGATCTCTAAGGCAAACACACACACATGCACACAGACACCCCTGCTGCTGCATGCAAGGCGTAGGCAGAAACACACACACATAATCAGACTTTTGAATACATTCCACTGCACAGTAGTCTACACAATTCAGGTGGACAGATGAGATTATAGGTAAATTATTGACAAATAAATTAGGGACAGCTAAAGAGAGATAGACAGAGATTTCTCTATTTAGAGTACATATTATCTGGACACAGGGAGCTGCCGCTGTTGTGTTGTTTCTCTATTTTTTCCCCCCTAATTTGAGCGGTTTCAAAGGGTAGTGACATGGGTAAATCAAGTGATTTGGAGCTGGAAGGAAGGGGGGAGATGGGTTCTTACCCGGAGTCGGCTGACTGACGAGTGGCCAGTGGTTGGTCCCGATAACCGGGAAAGCAAGGGTGGTGATGTAAACAAGCCTGTTTTGACACGCATTGTTGTGGTTCTGAGTACCGGTGAACTAGTTCCAATAAGATCTTTTCCATACACCACGGGTAGACATTCAACATGACCTCATGTCCGAGGTGCTACCTGAATGAGAATCTAAAAAGATATCTACTAAACAAGAAGCGCTTGAATGTATTAAACATGTTTGTTTGTTTGTTTGTTTGTTTGTTAGTGATTCAAAGGCCGAGTTATGTTTTGAATTCACTGTTACAGGCTGGAGTCACCATCCTCTGTGATGACTCGCCTGCCCACTCCCACAATTTTCCATCAAAAGGAAAACTGTGGGGAAGTCCAACCAACAGAGCAGAGTGGTAGGACATGTGATCACAGTGAGAGTACATCTCTCCCTCTCACTGCGTACAAGCCTTTTCCATCCATTCCAAAACCAATCACCATAAAGAGGTGATGACGATTTTGTTTATAAAATGGTTAAAAGATAGACCATGATTCATGGTGAAAAACAGAGCACTTGACCGACTTGTATCTGACGTCACTGAGATGACAGAAGCCTCACTGACTGAAAAGGCTCTCCACAGTCCGCCGTACTTGGGGACTACCAAGACCTGACCTTTGACCTGCGTTTGTCACAGTCAGATTGTTTTGGTGTTTTCCCCCTCTTGTTGTTCCTCTCCTCTCCTGGAATGTTCATTCAAGGCCGAGAGAGGATCTCTGTTCCCCAAAACTTAGAAACCTAGACTGTGTGAATGATGATGCATCTCTTTGGTCGGGGCCAGACACCCGAAGCCGCCCTAGGCGGCAGGTCTCTGGACCAGCTGTATTTGTGTTTTAGTACTTCTCAGTTTATTCTCTTTTGTTAATACATTCTTCACAACGGTTGGTTGTGACTCAATTCATTGCTCAACCCCTCACCAGGAATTTAATTTCCACGACATACTGTACACACCTTACACTTGCTTTATTTTAATACAGGTTGAAATGACTTTCATGGGTCTAAAACAAACCTCCATGCTGAACTCATTCATAGAATCTTCCATCATCAGTGCAAATGTCATAGCCAAACTCCACCCAGTGCAACTGATGGATGAAAGTGCACTGGGGTTGTGGGCATGCCATTATGTGCTCATCTGAGCAGGTCCTATCTATCAACATCACAAACTCCTCCTCTGTGACCTTTTAGCGCTGCCTCTGTTACCGTGGTATCCTCAGCAGCAAGGATGTATTTTTTCTCCTCACCCATAATGTCCCTGGGAACTAGGGTGGTGAGTGAAAGTCAGCTGCTTTAGCCTGGCCCCACTGCAGAGACAGCCAAAACTGTTGTGCTGAGTCAGCCGTGCAGAAAAATCATTGTGAGATTAAAATGGACAGGAGAGACGGAGAGAAGTGTGCCAAAAACACACAGCGACTGTTGAGACACTGATGGAAAGGAGGACACAACTGTTGTGTGAAAAGTAGGTAAGATTTCTGAGGAGTAAGCCTCTACTGGCGATGAAGCATCTGTAAATGAGCCTAATTAACGCTATGAGGACGTCCAATCATGCCCTGAAATTATCTGAAGTGATAATGCCTCTGTCTATCTGCAACATCTAGCTTTTGCAAAAATAAACAGGTTACCATTGCTCACTTTACAGCGTAGAAATAGTGCAGCTAGAAAACACATGAGAGAAGAAAATGAAATTCACTCTCACCAGGTTGGGCAGGGCGATCATCATGAATGTGTTTCGCGGCCAGATGTGCAGATAATTAGGCTTCATGGCAAACTGGAGATGATGATGAAAGTGGGACAAACAAAATGAAATCAACAAGAGGACATCTAGAATGGTGCCTAAACAATGTGAGTCAAATACTATCAGCATTTCACCGCCTTCAGTTAAAGAAGTGGTACTTTACTGACGACTGACCTCTCCATTTTTGGGTGGCATGGTGAGCTCCATGTAGCCGTGGGGGATGTAGGTCTGGCTGTAGTTGAAGCGGCTGCGGCGGAGGAATTGCTTACGGATGGCAGAAAAAGCTCCATCACAGCCTACAATCAGGTCTGCCTTGATCTGCTCCTTGGACCCGTCTGACCTGAGAAATATATCAGTAACATGACAAATTACTAATTAATTAATGTACGATATACTGACACCCATATGTATTTCAGCTAAATAACTTTAGCTTTACTAGATTCTTACTTGGTTTAACAGGTTAATCCTATTTTTCTCCTTTAGCCTGAGGATTCTTAACATCACAAAAAAAATGCAAGTAAACACACTTCTATTCTGATGCCTACACACCTGTCAACCAGGCTGAAACTCAGGTGTGTAAAAAGTGTTCCTTTGCGGATGTTTAGCCTGAGAATATGTGGTAAGTGTGGGGCCCTCGGGATATGTGCTGCAGGTTTGATTTAGGTCTAATGCAGACTGAGGGCTGTATGTTTGAGCTTTTCTTTCTCACACTTTTCATCATACACACAGGAGACCTTATTATTATTGATGATTACATTAGGACACTGAAATACTTTTAGAAATTCTCCTATGTTATAACTGAAGATCTTTATTCGGCAAGGGCAAACTTTAAGATTAATTTTAAAATCAGAAGTTATTTTACTAAAATAAGCTTTTTATAAAAACAGTATTTCATGCGCCACATCCTGTATGAGGATGTTCATTGTCATTATTAATATTATTAGTTCAATGACCAGCTTTATTTTCACACAGAAATTACAGTTGTATATAAATAGTAAACGTGCACATCGACCAATAAATCATAAAAAATTGATCTAGTACATCTGACAACATAAGGTTTCCTTATCACAGTGTTTTAGACAAAGTGACAATCCTTGTGGCACATTGTGTCTGTCCACCGCAGTGACAAAGATATCATACCTAAAGAATGATCAGATTATAATATTAAATAGTGTTTAGAGATATTCTAAGAACTTATTAACATGTTATTAGATTTACAACAATATACAAGTTATAGACCAGATTATGAGAAGAAAGCAGATTATTTACATTTATTTCATGCTGATAGCGATCTCTGAATATTTCCTGGCCAGTATGGAAGGCCGATGGTTATCACAGTGGTATCAGGCTCAACATTTACATTTAATTATACAAGCTGGAGGGAGTACATATGAGGTGTCACAGCTCAACTACAGGGTAGAGGGAGGGATGTGTCCTGCGTGAGTAAAGTGCAAGCCAGGGTGACTTTCGGATTCAAGGCACGCTCAAGGCCTTTAGGTGAAATCTGATTTAATTAGAGTGCATGAAAGGGTTTGTTCACTGTGGCAATAACTGCACAGTGACTCATTCGAAAATACGTTTTTAACTTGGTGCTTGTTGGAACACCAGGCATAGAAATGAATAAATAAATAGAAATACACACAACATACATATCAAATGGATTTCAACACATTTTAGATAAGGCTGAATTCAATTTTAAAACTCTGTGATCACATTAAACAGCGTTTAACTGTGTCACTAATTCACTGCACGGCTTATTCCCACAGCTAAAAAGACCTAGAGGTGTTTCAATGTTAATTGGGTTGTAAATTGTCTGTCACTTTTACCTCAAGGACAACCAATTACAGAGCTACTCAAAACTCACACACAGAGGCTTCAAAGGCAGCATGTTTATGAACCTCCCGGATCTCAGGCAGCTAACATTTACAAAGCTGCATGTGTTTCCATGTAGGAAGACACAGGAAACATGATCAACAAAAAGTCTTGTGAAAACAAAGCAGATCCTCCTCTTAGTTTATCCATATTATGTGTGTGTATGGAGGAGGGAGGTCTGGCTTATGCTACCTTCGGAAACACCAGTTGAGCGTGGAAGGCTCTTGATTTTTGGGACAGTTGTTAATGTTTTGGGTTACTGCTATTTTCCAGGAAATTCGTGTAACTCAATGTAATGTCTCCAAAATCGACATAAGTAAACGTGTGTGTGTTTGTTTATGTGTGTATGTGCTGTGAGTTCAGGGGTGTACATATGTAAGATCAGTTACTATTTACCTGAGAAAGGTCATTAGCCCTGTTTCAGCACTCCAGTCCTGCAGTTTGTGGTCAAAGTTCAGCTTTGTGTTTGGATATGTCTCTGCCGCTGTGGGAGTAAAATGTTACAAAAGGAGCTTCACATACGCAGGCGTGACATAACACATTTGTGAAAATCGACATTTTGGTTGTTACACTTTCCGAAATCTCTTTATCTCAATGTTCATTCCCATGCTATCACACATTATCTCCAAGCGTACACGGAGGCACTTCATAAATATTAGGCAAAATCCTTTTAACCAGAAAAGACTAACCCATCCCGTGGCATCCCCTGACATACTCATGCAGTTTAAAGCCTTGCATTAAGTTAACGCACAGGGAGTATGTGAGGCTCAGCTCGCTAGCAAACAGCATCCCTCAGGACAGTGGGTGTGAAGACAGAGCACATGTTTTAACTTGGAAAAAGTTGAATTTATTAGCAATAAAAGGTACTGTTGCTCACTTCAATACACTAAGGGGTTTAGCTGCTACAGACCTTTTTGGTCTCTTGTGACCAGTAGTAGCTTATGGCGGCTAATGTTAGCTGAAGTTAGCAAACACTGGGTAAATATTGCAGTTTATTGACTTTATGGCTGTGTCTGAAACCACTCACTCACTATTCCCTATATAATAGACACTCAGTAGTTAACTGTATAGAGAGATTTCAGACACTTCGATCACTTTGCATCATCACAGACAGGTGTATAGTTGCACAGTGGTATATTTAATATTATATATACATAATTTCAGCATTTATAAAATATTTTTTTATAGAACAGCATTTTATTGTGGGATTGTTAGCAGAACATATTGTACATGCCAAGGACATTACTTTTTTGTTACATTGTGGGAATATTTTAGGGTAATGTTGCTATGTAGTGCATAAAGTTCACATTCAGAACTTGCACCATCAAATAAAATGGCGGAAAGTGAGTGCAATATATGGTAAATGAACATTTTTGACACAGCCCATAACTCTTCCCCACTTTTGCTACTGTTACAATACGTTTTAGCAAGTATCATAATCCTGTAAATTGTTACTCGTGGCCAGGGGTGCAGGACTGGGGGAGAAAGTGGACTGAGTGATACTACAACAAATAGCCATCGATGCAGGCAGGGGCCCAAAAAAATGCTTATGTACAGGTCCAGATCGATCCTAATCATTTAACATTATTAGAGAATATGTTCTGCTGTATATCTGAGAATACACAGGTATTAAATGACATGACATTAAGTTGGGACTCCTAATTTAATTCCTAATACATTACATGCTGTGGGCCTATGTACTGTAAAGTGCTTTGCTAGATAGGCTATTCACTTATTAGTCACATGAAAAATACGGGGGGAGACTGTTGGTTAGAATATTACTGTGGTTATATGAGAGCTTTTTAACCTATTTTGGCCCAGTCACACTTCGAGGTCACATAGACAGACCTAAAATGAGAAAAATCTTCACAACTTCAAATTAGCTCTTTCACTTCTTTAACAAATTTTTGCTTATTTGTTCATGAGAGATGACATTTAGGCTAATATAGTGCTGTTCAGTTCAGACTTGTGCCGTGTTGAAAGTGTTGACCTAGTTTAGCCATCAGATTAACATAAAGGGGTGCATGTCTGAAAGGGGCTAAAACTCTTTGAGTCAAATTTTGCAGTATGTTTTTGTGGGAAAAGGGCATAATTTGAATGTCAAATTGCTATTTTTCTATTTGGTTATTTCAGCACACATCTTATGACATTGTGTTCAGTGTTTATGCTCCAAGACTATTTTGACTGAATTATGCAAAGCCACTATAATGTCCTTACCTGTTAGCAGTTCTTTGTTCAGATTGGCTCGGTCTACTGACAAGATGAACTGAGAGGAGAACAATGTATGTATGACAATGTATGACAGTGTAATTCTATAGGTACCAGGCCTTCAAAAAGAGAACTGTGACACTGTTCATTAAAAATGGGAACAGGAAGCCTCTAGGTTTTATACTCTGTGTACATTCATGAATCTACATGTTTCACTGTCTTACTTGGAGACAAGTATGTAGATTCATGAATGTACACAGAGTATAAAACCTAGAGGCTTCCTGTTCCCATTTTTAATGAACAGTGTCACAGTTCTATTTGTTTTATTAACCATATAAATCCCCAAGAGAAATTCCTGCATAACTGGCAGCAATGTAATTAAAAACAGCTATTTTCAGACAGACTAACTATACAAATAACAGGGACTTCTATTGACGTGTGGCAAAATGTCAGACTGACACCACAAGTTGTAACTTGTACTGATTGCATTATATAAAGTTCACATCACAACAATGGCCAGCTTACCTGGCCTTTCTTGCCATAAGGGATCGGGGACTGTTTCCCACTCAGAGAATGGATCATTCTTGCATGCATGGGGATTCCCTTGGAGACAATCTGAGGACAAATTATTAATAGAGGGAGTTACATTTTTAAAATGACATTCAGGATAATTGATTCTGTATAGTGTTATACGTTGCATTTGCAAAATCCATGTTTTCAGTCTCAATTTAAAAGTGGTCTAAGTGGAAACAGGATACCATTCCGTGGACACTCAGGCTAGTCCATGTGGTCACCCCATATCTGCCTTGAAAATATATTGGAAACCTCAAAAACCAAGCCTTGTTTAGTCATGCTGAAAAGTCATGCAAGTGTTAAAAAAAGGGTGTGATGCAGAGTTCTCAGGCGTGCATAACATTGTCAGCATAGCAAATATGGACCAACAAAAAGATTGCTGACCTCAGAATAAAACATCTTACTTGGTCTGGGAGCAAAGAAAGATGGACAGATTCCCTGGGGCCTGGCCATGTGTTTAATATTTCATTATCAGAAATACAGCTAAACTAAAAAAGGAAGGGTTTCCACTTACTTGCATCCACTATGATGTGTGGTCGAAGAGGACTCATACAGTGAAGCCGATGAACAAGCACTACACTGTTCATCATACCCCTGCGGTCCTGGGAGAAACCTTACTTTCTGCTTTACTAGATAAACAGTAAGTATATTTAATTAGCATACCTTCTCCTCCATTCCAACATGCTTCAATGCTTGCCGGCCCCTGTGAGATAAAGCCAGGTTGATGCTTCTCCCCTTCACAATTTTGGACTTCCGGATATCTGAACAAATTCAGACACAATTTTTCAAGAGAGCCTTTGTGGAATTTTGATTATCTGTTGAAAAACAATATTTCTATTCACCTATGTGTGTATACTGTTCAGGAATATTGTAATTTGATGTGTGGCTCTACGTATGCCTCAGAGAGGGCAGTGATGTGATAAAGTTATTTGCTTAAGTAGGTTTTAAAGAGAGCTTTGAATACAACCTTCCCGAGTTTCAAAGACTTCCACATTAAAGCCTCGTTTGGCAAAGAAGCAGGCATTCAGAGATCCAACCTAAAGGGTGAACGGGAATCAGGAGAGTTCTTTAACAATCTTGCCAAAATCACTGTGCTTTAATGATACATGGACTGTACTTGCTTAGCGCCTTTCTAGTCTTCTGACCACTGGCGCTTTACACTACATGTCAAATTCACCCCATTCATACACTGATGACAGAGGCTGCCATGCAAGGTGCCAACTGCTCATCAGAAAAAAAATAATCATACACCCACAGCCACACAACCCGATGCCACAGCCTTCAGGAGAAAGGTGGGGTTCAGCAAGGACACTTTGACATGCAGGCTGGGATTGAACCAGCGATTATAGGGTGTCCTGCTCTACCTCTAAGCCACAATCACCCCACTTTACACTGTCATACATAAATATTGAATTATACAATATGATCACTATTTAGGCTGCATAGCCATCCCTAAACACTCTTTTGTACCCTTATTCCCTTTATTCCACACTATAAAATGAAAGTATTCTTCTTTCCAAAGAGGACAGTTGCCTGTCAATATGTATTCAAGAGATCTAAAGACAGTTTAAGACAAGAGGTACAGTGAATTAACATTTCACTTTCATTTTCTTTTCTTACCAAACCACCGCCAACAACTGCTACAACTTTTTTCTTGGTGGATCTGTCGGTTGATTTCTCCATTGTGCCCCTTCTCTTGTGGTCTGACCCTCTCAATATCCAGTTTGAAGTGATTTACTGGAGTGGGTAAATATTTAAAAGAGGAGGAGCAGAGCGAGTCCCATGAATGTCATTCTCAATCAGTTAGTTCCCCTTTCAAAGCAAACACAAGGAAAAGATAGACCTAACTGAGGACAGATAGGCTACTCCGTGTACTTTAGCCAGCTAACGTTACTTTGGGTTGAATAAGAAAGGTTTACAGGTCCGTGTCAGAGAAGCACGTCTGCATTACCCAATGATTATGTGCAGCTGTAAATGAATGATATGGTTTGTGTGATTCCTGCTCTTAATGTCTCAAGTGACATGCACAAGCAAAGACATCTGTCTCCATCTAGTGGCTGTGTGATGGCAGCAATTTCAGCTACATACCCACAACTGACTCAGCACATATGCAAATACACAGTCCATGTGCAGAACAAAGTCATTAGTAATGGACATTAAATATGCTACATACAGAGCGTGTACAAAAAGGAAGGGATTATTAAAGTGTAACTGAACTTATCATGACGGCCACCTTCCTCTTCTTTTTCTTCTTCTCTGGGTTTTATGGTGGGTCGCAACCAACTAGTTCAGGAGCTTACCACCACCTACTGTACCGGAGTGTGTAATATCAAGGTTTTCGTGCTTCAGGTTACAGGTTCAGTGTATGCAAAAGGTAAACAAACAATCAAAAAACAAACAAAACAAACAAAAAAGACTATATGTTATGGTCTAGTCCTGTAGATTCAAGAAAATTAAAGAGAGCTTTGCAGCACTCCCTTGTTTCCTCACTCATCCCTAAAATCCCTTCTAAATTCCATCCCCGTCCTAATTCATATATCTTCTCACGTAAGATGTTCCTCTCAGAATCATATTTACTACACTTCATGATGACATGCTCGACATTTTCAGGAACATTACAAACCTCACATTTATCAGACACACATTTTGCCCTTAGCAAAGCGTTGATTTTAATCCAGCATATGTTCAAACCTTAATCTTGAAAAAAACACTTCATCTCTTCTACATTTCCCTTTGAAACCCTTCACCTTAATTGATTTCTGTATGCTGTAATAGTGTCTCCCTATAGTGTCTGTGTCCCACTTTTTCTGCCACACGTCAATCACTGTTTTTATAAAGAATGATTTGGCCTCTGCTTTTCCAAAGGGAACTTTCATTATTGTCTGCTTTCTCATTCCCCTCAACTCCAACATGAGCAGGGACCCAAACAAATTGCACATCGACTCCAGCTCTTTGTATTCTCAGCATTATTGTACATATTTCAATCAATAGATTATCTCTTACTGTCGTTTTGGAATTCGAACTATACAGGGCTGCAGTGGAGTCTGAACAAAACTCTCTCTGGCCTCACCTCTTCTATCCACTGTCACCCTAAAATAATAGCAACCATTTCTGCTGTATATACAGATAATGTATCATTAATTATTTTACATATAACTACATCAAACTCAGGTATGTATGCTCCTGATCCTACATGTTCAGTCCCTGGATCTTTTGATCCATCAGTAAATAATAGCATATAATTATAATAATTCCTCTTCACATAATCTTGAACCAGATATCCAATATTAAACACATTACTTTCACTCCATTCTTTCTTCTTCTCCAGAAGCTTCAAGTCTACATTGGGCACAGGAAATATCCATGGAGGAACATTACCCCATTCAGTAATTGGTCCATAGTCTATAGTATTTTAATCCGTATTCTTCTGTTACTGCATTAATATTCCAACCAAATCCTTTACCTTTCTGTTGTTATGTATATTCCCAACAGTCACACAGAACCTGTGTTGCAGGTTGTTCCTCTCCAGATCCTTTTAACTTGACCCAATATGCTAAAGACAACTTAGAATGTCTTAAATATAATGGCAATTCATCAGCTTCTACCAGCAGTGCATTCGTAGGGGTTGTTTTCACTCCACCTATACTGAGTCTTAGAGCTCTGCACTGTATTCTGTCTAATTTTTCTTAAATACTCTTGGCTGCTGCTCCATATACCATACACTCATAATCAATACACGATCGTATTAAGGCCCTATAAATATCTAGTAGTGATTGTTTATCTGCTCCCCATTGGTCGCCAGAAACTGACTTCATGAGATTCAGAACCTTTTTACATTTTGTTTCAACTTTTTTAACATGATTCCTCCATACATATTTCTCATCAAACCACAATCCTAGATACTTGAACTCTTTCACTCTTTCTATATTTTGTCCATACAGTTCAAGCTGTGCGTTATTAATCCTTCTCTTTCTGCTAAAGAACTTGAGCATGATTTTGCGACTCACATCTTTCAACTTTTAATATAGCACTCTGTATTAGTCACATGTCTAATGTTTTTCCCTCTTTTCCATATAGCTCCATCATGTGCATAAAGTGATGACTCAATATCTCTACCAAAATTTATAAAAATGTCATTTATCATGATGTTAAACAGAATAGGGCTTATAGCGCTCCCTTGAGGAATACCATTTTCAATTTCAAAATCCTCCGACACAGCATCTCCAACTTTAACACTGAATGTTCGGTTAGACAGGAAGTCTAACTCCCAGTTATATAGCCTTCCGCCAATACCCATTTTATGCATTTTTCTCAATAATCCTTCTCTCCACATTGAATCATAAGCTTTCTCAATATCAAAATATACTATAGCCATGACCTCTTTCATACTAACTGCACTTTCTGCTTCATTGCTAACTTTAACTAAAGCGTCCATTGTAGTTGATTCATCATTATCATTATTTGTTCTTAAAATATCCTTTTTCCATTGTTTGTGTATTTCATCTAAATGACTCCCACTATGTACACTTGCAAACTTCTTACCTAGTAGCTCAGCTTTCTCCTTATTTGTATAATGCCAGGTGTTCTCCATCTATCAGCACTGGGATTTTAACATTGCCCAAATGTCACCCAATTTAACTTCTCTACCAATGGAGGAGCAGAATTGCCTCCATGCATTCTTCTTGGATGACTTAATTATTTTCTGTGCCATAGCTCTCTTGATAGTCCATCAGGTTATCTTGTCTCAAATGCTTCTTTTTTAAAATTCTGAATGCATGATTTCTTTCTTTTATAGCATTTTTACATATCATATAATAATCATGGAAGTCGCTGCTACTGCGCAGCTATTTACGTCACCTTCCATCGATATTCTTTCAGTATACTCAATACAAAGTTCTCTGAATTTTTCCCAGTTAGCTTTAGGAAAAAACCATCTCTCTATTACATAACCCTCCTGAACATACATATCAAAGTTCATGGAACACAATATTGGTAAGTGATCACTCCCTATATTGATATTCCATTCACATAAATTACTCATATTTACAGAGACTAAAGTAAGATCTATACAAGAAACTGGATTTCTTGTAACATTAACCCTGGTACCGCTTCCATCATTAAGGCAAGAAAGTGATCTAGTTCTTTAACTACTTCTCCATTAGTGTCTGTATGGTCACTTTCCCACAGAGTATTGTGAGCATTAAAGTCTCCACAACATATTTCTCTTCTATCAATACTTTTGATAATTTCGTTCATGGATTATATATTTCCTCTGGGACTACACATTTCTACTATTACACATTCATACTCATTTGGAACAGTTACCCTTCTATATGCTAAAGTATCCTTAAGCTACACATCCTCCACCTTGTTTTCCAATTCTGTCACATCTAACCGAGCTGTAGCCTGGTAGGATAAAGTTTCTTGTATACACATAACATCAGGTCTAACTTCCAGCTCCGTTACAACCTTCTTGAACTCTTGTCCATTTGCAATTAAACTTCTGGCATTTCAGTGGAGGATATGAAATACCATAATGAGGCTAATCGCCTTGAGACACTCCATCATAATTAGTCGGGTTCAACATCTCATGAATCTGTTCAGCTGTAACTTCAGATCACCACTTTCTCTATGGCTTCCTCTACAATTGTCTCTTCTGTCACTTTTTTTCTTCTGCTGTATTGCCGCATTTACAGTCTTACAGATGAAAGCAACAAAGTTGGTTTTACCCACAATCAGCGTATCTTCATTAATCTCCTTTATCCATGGATTTATTTCTGTTTTCCTCTGACTGGAGATGAAGATGAAACCTCAATTACTCGTCTGTTCTCAGACTCTTTTGCTCTATTTATTACTTATGCACCACTGGGTTTGTATAGTTCACTTTCCTTCACTTTTTTTGCTGCATCAGCATAAGATACCTGATTAGTTATTTTATATTTCTGTACCTCTCTAGCTTGCCTTTGAACAGGGCATCCTCCAAAAGCAGAGCTATGCTCACCGCCACAATTACAGCATTTTACTTTTGTATCCTGACCACATTTTCCAAATTCATGTTCACCTCCAAATCTAGCACATCTTTGTTTTCCTTTACATTGTCCAGCAGTGTGTCCCATTCTTTGACACTTTGAAACAGACATCCCAATTTTACGCTCTTTGGCATAACTTTTTCAAACTTAAGGACTACTGACAGGCTATAAGTTTCTCCCCCTTTTCTTTGTGTTTGCAGTCTTGTGGCTTTCACCACTCTCCCTCCTTTCACTTCCTGAATTATCTCCTCCATTGTCATTGCCATCATAAACAACACCTCTAAGCTTTGCTGCATTCCCAAGGATATGAGCACTGATCCTTTCCCCATTAAGTGTTTCTGCTCTGAGAAACCTATCTCTTTGCAGTTGATCTGAAGCAAAGACCAGCAGCCTCCTATTAGCCGACTCACCCATTTCTTTCTCAATTGCTTTTGTTAGTTTTAGTGGTTGAAAATGCCCCCCTTCTTTTTTGAATGTTACCATCACTTGCCATTCAATTTGCTCATCCTGCTTTCTCACATTTATCATTATAGACTTTTTTGGATATGTCACCCACCTCCACATCATAGGTTGAGCTTCCAGAACTATCGCACCTTCCTTTCCTACTATTATTTACATCCTGCCATGGCATACTATCACTATCTCCATCCATACTTTTACCCATGATAATTACATTCATGGTACAGTTGTTGCTAATTCGCCAAATACCAATGCTCGTTCTCAGTAGCACGTTCAAACACAATTCCAACAATCTCTCTCCTTAGCCTGGGTAAAACGCTCTTCTCTCTTCTGTTACTTCTATTCACACCCTGAACATTAATAAATTTTTGCAAGCTGTAATATTTCCTTCCACTTTTATCCACATCCCACCTGTCCTGCCATTTCTACATCATTTCTTTTTTGATTATCGCCTTAGCTTCTCCTTTTCCATGGGGTATATTTATGACATTGTTTGTCCTGGTTGATTTTATAGCTATTTTGTCTGCTCTCTCATTCCCTATGTGGGCAGGTACCCAGCAGAATCTCACATCTATCCATAGTGTCTGTAATCTAAATAAACTTTGTTGGATTTCTAGCATTGATTGATTGATTGATTTTTATTTAGAAGGGACCATGTGCAATTAATAACATAAATGTAAACATTTGATGCATTACACCAGAGTTAGCCTTAGGCTAATTTACATCTTCTCTATTAGATTTCATATTTTAAATACTATAAAGGGCTGCTACAGAATAGGCACTTTTCCTAACTCAACCTGGATTGCTTTATTTGATTTATTTATATGATCTCATTACACCAGTACAAATCCTCAGTGCTTTGTTAGTAACTCTATCCAACTTCAATAGATGTGTTTTAGCTGTTGCTCCATATACATAGCATCCATGATCTATTATTGACCTCATTAGAGCCTTGTAAATATACATTAATGATTGTTTATTTGCTCCCCAGTCTTTCCCCACTACTGCTCTCATTAAATTTATGACTTTCTTGCATTTTGATTCCACCTTTTCAATGTGTATTTTCCATGTTCCCTTTTGGTCTAACCACATACCCAGATATTTAAAAGTATCTACTGTTTCCATATTGTGGCCATATAACTGTAGGTTCTGTTTATCTATCACTTTCTTCCTGGTATGACAAGACTTACTTGGAGAAAGCTTAAAGCCCCGATTATATGACCATTGTTCTACCTTTCCTATTGCTTCCTTGATTTTACTTCTCACCCGTATGGGATCTCGTCCTCTTGTCCAGATGGCCTCATTCGCATTCAGAGCTGACCCAATCCTTCTGTCTAGATTAATAAAAATATCATTAATCATAACATTAAATAAGACTGGACTAATAACACTGCCTTGTAGAATTCCATTAACAATTTCAAATTCCTCAGATACGTCAATCTCAATTTATTATTATAAACATTTATGCCTCCAATAACAAACAAGACAACACAATTATATTTTCAACAATAGAGAATAAAATTAATCAGCTGTTATTACAGTTCCCCTCAAATAAAGTTTTATGGGGAGGAGACTTTAATACAGTGATGGATGAAAACATGGATAGCCTCCTAAAGATAAAGTAATGAGTGAATTAGGAAACATATGTGGTAGGATGGATCTTATTGATATCTGGAGACATAGACACTTAAACCAAAGAATATACTTGGAGTAATAAGGATAGATCTCAACAATCACGCATCCTCTTCTGGTTGATCTCTTCAGATGTAGAAGAAATGGTGGACTGAGAACAGAACCCTGTACTTTTACAGATCATAAGGCTATTATGATTAAAATAAATATGACATCGATTAGAGGTAACTTTAATAAAGACTATTAGAAATTAAATAAAACACTATTAGAAAATAAGAAATTTAAAAATGAAGCCCAAAAAACAAGCAAATTTATTGAAGGAGTTTGGAAAATGCTGGGAATGAATGAATTTAGAAATTTTACGTTGTCATTTGGGAGTCCCGGATAATTACAAAAATGATAAGATTATTAGAGGAAGTACAATTCTGAGATATTCAGGAAGTTCATTACTATCAAGTCGTTCCTGATTGGTTAATTCCTTACTCACAATTTAGTGTAGGACTACCCTAAAAGTAAATATTATGTACGGTAAATTATTGCCAATAATAGACTACTGTTATTTACCCCCCAAAAGTATTCAATTAAAACCAGGGGATCAGGCCATCCAAGCTCTATTAAGTCTTTAAAACGTGGATAGGCAGTTTCTTACAGATTGTAAATGTTCAGGGATCTCTAACTACTAATATAAGTGTTAATCTTTGTAACCAGTTTATTATACCTTATCCCAGTTTAAATTTCAACAAAGGGAAGAGATGATTGCGTCTATTATTCTAAATATATTTATTTGACAAGTGTATTTCTCCCTAACTTATCTACAGCTGGACAAAACCGACAAAGCTTGAAACACGCTGAACATAACCGGAAATCCACACGCAGGCTATCCTAATCGATATCAGAGTCAATGACACAACGTTATTTTCATTTTTCATTATAGACAGTGTGCCCCGTGCCAGTCAGTTTAACTTTAACCAAATAGTTTAGAAGTAAAGTAAATAATCTGCTTAAATGTCTAATTGATAGCTATTGTCATGATCACGTTCACCAGTGTGAATGACTTGAGAACGTACCATCTGGAAGAACACTCGGTTCTGTGTTTGATTACTTTTGCCTATTCAAATATGGCGCTGGAAAAGCCAATATTTTTCATGGGTGCAAAGTATGTTTAAGTGCATTAACCGAACGGCCCAGTTTACGAAATATCTCCAGTCAGCAGCCAGCAGTTTCCGTCTTAACCAAGATTTTAGGTACGTGTTGTATGGCAAATCTCGTAACATTTGTTAAAAATAATTGAGTTATTTTCACACCAAATGGTAGGCTAGCTAGCTACCAAGCCTGGCCGTTAAAGCCGGTTTGTTGACCTATATTACGTTAAGCTCCCTGCCTTGACTGAAACTGTTAGCTGTGTTGCTACTAAAGGTAACAGTCAACGTTTCAAAAATCGGTTTGTGTATGGAGCTTCTGAATGGTTGATTGTAAACATTTTGCAACAACGGGGAATTAAAGATAACTACATATTTAGACATACGAACTTCCGCTACCACTTGGGGTCTTTGTTGCTAATTTAGCAAGCTAAAGCTAGTTTGCCTAATGTTACTGTGAGTGGGATTATTTTGTGTCCTCTAGCGAGTAACGAGTAACGTTAGCTGTGTTGTACTGTTGTACTTTGGGCGAAGCAGTTGTATTCGTGTTTTCAGTCAACTAAGTTAACGTTAATTAACGTTATCTAACAGTAAGTTGTGAATTACAAAAAACACTCTTTCCTTTTATGAATACGTTTTTACAAACGTTGTTGTCTATCTAACCTTAACTTTACTATTATAGCAAATTAACTGTTAGCAAAACACACTCTTTATTTAACGTTAGAGGTAAACATTTAAATCGTTAATTGTCATATTTCTGCAACAGTCGTAAAATCCTTGAAAATAACATGACAGACCCCTTGGGTAACTGCACTAAACTTTGACTGGACGTTACATTTGATTCCCTCCACTCCAGGGTGGTGTCATCCTTGCCACTCAGAATGACTGACCCCGCTGTGAAAAGGGTGGTTAGTGACATTATTCGCTCTCCCGAGGATAAACGAGTTTACAGGGCCCTGGAGTTTACCAATGGCCTTAAGGCCATGCTCATCAGTGACCCCACAACAGACAAATCCTCAGCTGCTTTGGATGTGCAAATAGGTAAATATCTTTCATCACCATTGTCTTGCCATGTAGTGATGTATTTTGATGTGGCTTTCTTCCTTACAGGGACCCTTATCATACAGTTTTAGAAAGCAATAGGAAAAATATGTCACTAGTTTTTGCCCCCTAAATGGAAATAGTCCACATTATAGTAAAAAAAAAAATGTTTTACTTAATTATATGCAGAGTATCTTTAATACTGGCCATACTCTCATTCTGTGCTTAGGGCATATTTAGAGCATATATTATCTCTGTAATCCAGTATTCCTGTTGCCATGATTAAACCTGTAAAATTATTTTTCTGTCTCTACTTACCTGGTGTCCCATTTACAGATAAAACAGTTGCCATCAAAACTATGAAAATGTTGTGACTTCTCTCTGACTAAGCAGCAGCAGTAGTAGTTGTTTTTACTGCAGCTGGGGGAAATGATGATTCATAATACCTTGCGCAAGTTTTGTGCTGGTGACAATAAAATATAACTCATGAACTATCTCTGTCTCATAAAGAGGAAGTTAGCATGCCACACAAACCTGTTTAGTATGCCAGCTGTCTTGACCAGGTCTTGCAGAGTAGAAGCTTCCCAGACTTTCTCTTAATTATTTGAGTCATATTATTAAGAGGCTGTCAGAATGTGTTGATTTATTAAATTATTGCGTTAATAACAAGTTAATTCTCCGTTTTACTCTTTGCTTTCCTCTCCAGTCTGGCAGTCACTGAAAAGTCAGGATGTTGTATCTTTTTTATGAGCTGAGAGCTACCGCTGGATCAACTGATTTTCTGTGGCCATTTTTCTTAAATGTACAGGTTCGTTATCGGACCCAGCAAACATCTCGGGCCTGGCACACTTTTGTGAGCATATGCTGTTCCTGGGAACAAAGAAATACCCCAAGGAGAATGAGTACAGCCAGTTCCTCAGCGAGCACGCGGGCAGCTCCAATGCCTTCACCAGTGGAGAGCATACCAACTATTACTTCGACGTGTCCCATGAGCACTTGGAAGGAGCACTAGATAGGTACTTTTCTATTCATTTGATGGTATTAATTTTTCCCTGTACTAAAAGTAAATTTTCATATATATATATATATTATTCTCACTCATGTATATCACTCATGCATATACCTTTTGTTCAATTGAAATAGATGTCAGCTCTTTGCTTAAGTGATTGTTTCAGTACACAGTGTTCCCCTTGGAAGTCCGGGTGTTAATCCAAGTGAGCTGCCAGGTTGGCGTCTTTCTTTGGTTACCAGACCTAGCTTCATTGTGCTCTCTTTTATAACCACCAGCAAAGTTCCTACCTGCACTGAGGCTAGAAACCTCAGGCACAGGGTGAGATTGATGTCCTCAGCTTTGCAGGGGTCTCTGCTCACGTGTCAGCTGTGGTGGTTTGAAGAGGACAGTCGTGCTGTGTCACAATTTAACCTATTGGGATAAGCTTACCTACTTATAAATAAATGATAGGCTGCCAAGAACCTGTTTATGGGTCATAGGCTAATTGTTCCCCTGCGCCAGCGAAGTGTGAAGGCCATCTGGACTGTAGTTGTAGGAAAGGACAGTGCAGAGTGTATTGAAATATTGATGATGTTACCTGTTTGGAAATAAAAGAGCTTTGTGTCTGAAAGGATCATATGTGTCATTAGCTGGCCCCATTATTTTAACCATCCCCTTGCTATAAGAATCAGTCTGCATTTATTTAATGCTTTCGCTAAGAATAACAACCTCAAGCACCACTGCAGTATAAACACATTTCAGTACCAAGGGTCATGGTTTGATTGTTTTTCCAGAACATTTCATTGATCTAAATAAATAATCTGCTGTGACAGAAGTACATTTTTAGTCCAACAAGATCCAACAAGGGTTTTAGACATGGCTTGGTACAATACGCAGTTTGTTGCATGAACCTTTAAATCTAAAGCAATTGCCTGGGGTGTAGCTTTAACAACATCCAAATTTTGTGTGTGCTTGTCATTTCCTCATTTCCATGGCAGTTGCTCTTACTTTGCACTCATGCAAATGGATTTCATCATTACCCACTAAGTGTCGTTTTCTGTGTCTACAAATGGTCATACACACCAACAATCGTCATTTAAACCAGAACAGCATTAGGCTTAAAGAGCAAATCTTAAAAGATGTTAATTACACAGCCTAGTAGCTTTGCTTTGCATCTGAAAATAGATCTTTCTCACTGGTTAATGTGTCTTTACTGTCATTTTTCAATCTCTGTAGGTTCGCCCAATTCTTCTTGTGCCCTCTGTTTGATGAGAGCTGTAAGGACCGGGAAGTGAATGCTGTGGACTCTGAGCATGAGAAGAACGTAATGAATGATGCCTGGAGGTTGTTTCAGTTGGAGAAAGCCACTGGCAACCCTAACCACCCCTTCAGTAAATTTGGAACAGGTAGAAAATCTCTGGAGTTGCCACCAGTGCTCTTAAACTAGACAATCATGTGTTTCATTCTAACTTTCTGCATATAGCAGTCTGTCTCTGTTTGTTTATCTCGGTATAGAGATACACTGAAGACAACTGTAATAGTTTTTGTTAAAATAGATAGATAGATATTTAAAGAAACGTCCCTGTTTAGGCTAGATTATATGATTGGATATACAGTATGTTGGACCAGTCTACTGGCCTAGTTGATTTTTTTGTGCAATATGAGTACACGGAGTTTACTCATTCATATAGTGACATGGTCTTGGAGTAGCTCCAAGCTCAAAATAGCCACCTGATGGCAGTCTTGAATTGTATAATCTTTATTCCAGTTAAGAATAGAAACGGACAAGCCTGAAGGTCATTGCGCCTTAGTGGACCAACATAATCTTCCCCAGATTGAGTTTTTTTTGAGACGCAGACAGAAAAACAAAGCGACAACCACTGGCACTTGACTTGCCTCAGAAGTGCTGGATGTAGGCTGCAGTTGTATTTGAAATATGGTACATTCACAGCAGCTTGTTCATGTACTTGAGCGGCTATTGTCACTGGGTCATCATAAACAGATTATTAAAAAAAAAAAAATCAAGTCATTGTTCGACCCAGTGAAGTAATCATTATCGGACCATTCCACACAATGCCCTGTCTAATGATCTGTCAATACACTGCTCATCTTTGTGAATCTGTTAATTCAAACTACATTAATAATTGCAGTTGGACAGTGAACCTCGCAAAGATGGATCATTACAATTGTACTCTGTCATGGAGAAGAAAGCAAATAGACAGTCTCTCATTTTCTCTTATAGGTAACAAATTTACCCTTGAGACCCGACCATCTAAAGATGGGATTGACATCCGTCAGGAGCTCCTGAAATTTCATTCTACATACTACTCCTCCAACCTCATGGGACTCTGTGTGTTAGGAAGAGGTAAAAATTCACTGATGTTTAAATGTTGCAAAAGGTTCACTCTGGCTTAACAGCGCTCCTGTGACACCAAAGAGGAACAAATAATGGAAGTCAAGTCATGTATGACTTGGCGTACATGGCCTAAACCATAATATTTCAAGTTTTATTTGCAAATTATTATACAGCAACACAACACATTGTTGTCAAGTCAATGGTGACACTGTACCTCAGTATAAGTACCAAAAAAAACGAATTTTGCATTGTTTTCCTTCTCTTTAGCTTTGCTAACACGGTGTAGGTGATTTTAATAGATAGATATTCCCTTGACCTTTTGACTGTTTACTAGTTTCAGACTCTGAAAACCTCTGATCCCTTTGCAAAACTTTCTCATCTGAATCATAAGAGATGCAGTTTGTCAGAAGTGCTTATAATAACATCCTAGCATGAATTATGGCTCCAGGTGGCTCTCAACCTACTCAACTGCTTAATGTCTAGTGAGCTTTATTGGTCGAAAATGCCACTGGAGTTGAATTTAGTTTAGTAATAGTCAAAATATGGTAATTGGTACGTGTTTTAATGGACAAGTGCAGTCAAAGATGGATGAAGTTAAATACTGTTTCATTGGGTCCTCTTTGCACTTATATGAGCTACGTTAACTTTTCAGTAAATCTAAGCTAAACTATAAATGTATTCAACTTTATTTTTTTCCCTCTTTTACTTACAGAATCATTAGATGATTTGACCTCCATGGTGGTGAAACTATTTGGAGAAGTGGAAAACAAGAACGTGCCTATCCCAGAATTCCCTGAGCACCCCTTCCAGGAAGAACACCTAAGAGTGAGCCAGTTACTTCTCTCACCAGTGTTTCTCACACTTTATTGTACACTCAGTATACCATTACTGTAATGTAGGGAAATAGTATTTGATCAGATTGTATTTATTAGTGTTTTATTTTTTTTTTCAGCATTCAGGTACAATGAAAACAATGTCCATCATCAAAACATGTTTTCTAAAGTATCACATGAATGACTTTTCCTAAGTAACAACAAGTTTGTTCTTTGTTTACTCTCACAGCAATTCTACAAAGTGGTGCCCATAAAAGACATCAGGAACCTGTACGTGACTTTCCCCATCCTAGACCTACAGAAGTACTATAAGTCTAACCCAGGACACTATCTGGGACATCTGATTGGTCACGAAGGACCTGGAAGTTTGCTATCTGAGCTCAAATCTAAAGGTAGGACATAACTTAGGGACATGTTTGTCCTACTAAACAAGATGTTTTTTGATCATTAAAGAAAGGAAATATGTACCCATGACTAACTGAAAAATACCATGATTATTATTTTTAAGGCTGGGTGAACACACTTGTTGGAGGGCAAAAAGAAGGAGCCAGAGGATTCATGTTCTTCATTATCAATGTGGACTTGACGGAGGAGGGCCTATGTAAGTAGTACAACTACATGTATGTGTACTGCAATTCATTCAGTGTGTGGGTGTGTGTGTAAATTACATAAATAAATAATGTCATAATAATGTAAATAATGTCACATGTGTCACTGCAGTGCACGTTGAGGACATCATCTTCCACATGTTCCAGTATATTCAGAAGCTGCGTACTGAGGGCCCTCAGGAGTGGGTGTTCGAGGAGTGCAAGGTAATTAATGTTGTCTATTCAGCGACAACATTTCAGACAGAGGGGCAGGACAAATGTGACCCACTTATTTCTGGTTAATGGAGAAACTAATAGAAACATTGACAGTAGAGACTGGTAGCTATTTTTACCATTTTATCTGCTGAAAGTATCCACGTCAAATGAAGCTGGATGGATAATTTTTCCTTTGGGATTAGAATAACATGTGGATTAAATTCTGTGCAGTTTCCCTTTCTAGAATCTGGCTTTAAATGTCTGTTGTATGTGTTACATCCTCCATCTCTGTTTCTCTGTAGGATTTAAACAAAGTGGCCTTCAGGTTCAAGGACAAGGAGCGACCCCGTGGCTACACTTCCAAAGTGGCTGGTTTACTACACGTAGGTCCCCCTTCTATCTGCAAAGGTTGTTTCCACGGAGACACAATGCAGCTCATTGCGTCTGTACCTACTGTCGTCATCAGGCTGTCTGGTGCTGCTGTTGACTGAGAATTGAGATTTTGCAGAGGCACAGTGAGAACTAGGCTGGGCTTTTTTTATTTACCACTATTCCCGAATGACCGTCGCAGCAAGACTTCATTGACGCCCCCCAAAGAGGTTTTAGTGAGCGCTAAAGGAAAATCACCAGTGCCAAAATGATCAGAGTTGAAAAAAACAACCTTTGAAATCCTCTCCAAATGTGTTTTAATAGCCATTTATCAAACGAACAACTGTTGAGCAAGCAGAACATAAACTTAAATCTGCCTGCTAATATCCGCGGAGATAGGGAGCCTTTCATGGAGCCGTGTGCGTTTGTTGCTCGTCAGAGTCACTTTTTGTGAACCGACCGATCACAGCAAGGAGGAGGCGGGGCATTAAAAATGATTTGAGGCGCTAAAGCAAACTGCTGCTTTCTCCAACTGGAATTAATTTTCATAGGCTGCTAATGGTAAGCTACTGTATAGTAGCCTGTACTATTTTCTGGAATTATAATGAATATACAAACATTAGGTCTAATCAAACCTTAACCACTGTGGTGTGGTTAATATCAGAAAATGTTTTTATTTGTGAAACAGCTGAATCTCAACTAATAAACTCCTCAAGCGCTACAATGCTAACAGCATTCTGCTCTTTGTGTTTCAGTACTACCCTCTTGAAGAGGTTCTAGCAGCAGAGTACCTTTTGGAGGACTTCAGGCCAGATCTGATCGAGATGGTGCTGGATAAGCTGAGACCAGAACATGTCAGGTCAGTGTGGGAACACCTCTGGTCATGTATAGAAAAGCTGATGCCATTTATGCACTTACAGAAACAATCTGTTTGATTATTCATAAGTATAAGAGTTATACTATGTTATGGTGGACACAGCTTGTATAACAGCAGACTTCAAACTACAGAATAAATGTGTACGTTTGTATAGATTTATATATTGCGATCAGTTAAAACAAGACCAATCTAATAATATGGATGTAATGGACATCCACCATAACATTAGAATAATGTCACTGTAACATGCCAACAAAGTGTGCCTGTGGATAGTTATGTAAGTGCTTAGTAAGTGATCAGTTTAAATTATTGTGAATAATAGTATGTATACTATATGTACATAAAATAATCTATTGGTGTTATTTATTGATAAATAGATGCAGTAAGTCTGCCGTGTCTTTATAACTGGTATCTGTGATAGATAATAGGATAATAATATAGAGGATAATAAATTCTGATAATGAATATTTTTTGTTGCTTGCCAACTCTGAGAAAGTGCTGTCGCTCTACTTTGATATTTGGATGAAACCGCTTTTCAATTTTCTGCCTTGAAAAGGAATGCAAGGCAACTTCACAGAAGTGATTATCTCCACTGCCTCAAAGGTTCAGTTTGTTATATCAGGAGACGGATATGTGTGCTCAGGAATACATTACCTGGTTTAGCTCTCTGAATTGGAATTATATTTTGCATAAACAATTTGGCCAGTAAAAACTTGTTATTTTGCCTCATGTTAAAGATATTGGCCTGTCAAATAGTTGTTTTGTTTTGTTTTTGTTTTTTTTTTGTGAAGCAGAGTTCGACACGTTGATACTGTATGCTGTTAAACATAGTTGGCAGTCAAAGTGAACTTTTTGGGACCTAAATGTTTTCCCTTACGTCGCTGCAGATGACCCTTTTGAAACAGCATCTGTTTGGCTGTTTGACTTAATTTTCAGTTCATAATCTCCTGTGTGACAAAATGAATTCCTACCAGAGAGCATAACCAACAAGAGATCCATTTTGAAAAAACAAAAGCAATGACTGACAGTTTGAGGTGTAGCACAATCTTTTCTGTTACAGCCACACCTGCCTACTGTAGCTTTAACACAGATTCATTGTTTGTGATGGTACTTGTGTCGAGCAATGTGCAAACTTGTAACTAGTCCATTCCTTAATGCTTACCAAGGAGATGATTGCATGCACTCATTGGCTGACCCTGCCATTTTGCATGGCAGTCTTGTCCTTTTAGTTTGCATCATTAAAGTGCTATAAATTATAATCACACTTGCTGGTAATATACACTATTTGTTTTTACTTTAAGTCCTAGCTGTTGTTTAACAAACAGGAACCTCCTATTGCCACTTTGTGACTGAACAAATGTTTAGGTACAAGTGAGAAGCTCTCTAAATGCAGCACACTGAGGAATGTATAGGAATTCTAAACATAGCTCACCAGTTAGAGGCAGGCAGCATGTCAGTGGGTCTCCACTACCTTAAACATGATCCAAATGCAATATTAATAGAAAAGCACTCACGTCTCATCTTGTGCAGTGGTTACAAATAGCGAGTATCTAATCAGCTCTTACAGAGAGGTCTTTGTATCCATGTAACGTGAGCTTGTTCACTCTTTTCTTTTCCCAGAGTTGCAGTGGTGTCAAAGTCATTTGAAGGGCAAACGGACAAGACAGAAGAGTGGTATGGCACACAGTACAAACAAGAGGCCATCTCTGAAGAGACCATTGAGGTGAATCCTAGTGCTCTAATCAATTTACGCACAATACTGGGAGCCTGTGATGAGTGTATGACTACTGCTTAAGTTTTATAAAACCCTGCTTGCTGATTGTATGTCTGTCTCAGAAATGGCAGAGTGCAGACCTCAACGGCAAATTCAAATTACCTATGAAAAATGAGTTCATCCCTACAAACTTTGAGATCTACCCTCTTGAGAAAGACTCTCCATCCGTCCCCACTTTAATCAAGGCAAGTGTTTCTTCTGCACAGCTCTATCATCAAAGTACTGTCACTCCCTATTACCTAACTGCAATGCACAATCCTTGCTTAACAGCATACTGTTAAAAATCTCTTATCCTTTCATATGGTAATAAGATATTGTGATTGAGACATGAAGCATTTATTACCATTGTTGCCATAATATCAGGATCAGAGGAACAAGCTATTAACAACAGAAAACATTTTCCGTTCTCTAAAGGAAAGACTAAATTAAAGCCATGATGCCTTTGTTCTTTTATTGCTTCTTTTAGTAAAGTTTTTATGACTAAGCAAATGTAGCTGACGTGTGCCTTGGCTGGCATTTCCAGGAGCTGCAAACGATTGTTTTTGTACAGAATGGACTTTCAGTGAATATGAAAATGAGAACTCCCTGTGTGTGGTGGTCATTTCTTCCAGGACACTGCTATGAGCAAGGTGTGGTTCAAGCAGGATGACAAGTTTTTCCTGCCCAAGGCATGCCTGAACTTTGAGTTCTTCAGGTGAGTAACTAACTATGAACCTTTGTACTTCAGCTGGAACTTTCGGCTTGAGTTCCCACCCAGTAAATCAACTTTTTATTTGCTAGTACTTAACAGCTTACCACCATCTACATGTACGGAGTTCAATATTTCTCAATAAAAAACTGAAAGTATGTACTCATACAGTACGTAAGCCATCAGTAGTTCACAATATTTAAAAATAATCTGCCAACAAAAACGTGCAGAAAAATGTGTCTAGAAAAAGTATCTGCAATTTATTTAATTTATAATTGTTAGTTATTATGTCAACAATTCCTGTAGATGCTCTACTATAACAAAAGACTGAAATGTTTCAAAGGAGCTGGAGGAAGTTTTATTTTTTCATTAACAGTAGCTTAACTTTACAACACCAGTAGCACATCAAATTTGACCAGATAAGAAAAGGTTAAGGCTTATGTGACAGCAACCTCGTCGAGTGTTGCAGTTACAAGTCGAATACCAAACCGAACGTACATATATTGTAAATACCTGTACTAGTGCTGTGAGAAAATGTAGAGATTAAAATCTCTACTCTTTGTTTCTATGCTTTGTTTGACCACTGCCATTTTCTCTACAGCCCGTTTGCGTATGTGGACCCATTACATTGTAACATGGCATATTTATACCTGGAGCTCCTCAAGGACTCCCTCAACGAGTATGCATATGCAGCCGAGCTAGCTGGCTTGAACTATGACCTCCAAAATACCGTCTATGGGATGTATGTAAGTATTCAAAGTCCCTCCCCATTGACCTCCATGCTGCATCCCAGACCTCACGTCCCGAACCTTTATCATGCTCAGACTGTGCTATTGTGGCTCAGTCAGGCCTGGGTTTACAGGTCATTTTAAGCCATCTCTATGGCCAAACTGGAAGGTTTTATCACAGAATTAATGAAATAAATTGGACAAAACAGAAAACGACTATATATAATAGTCCCTTGTCTGTGCTGTCAAAATACTTGACAATTTGGAACTAATCTCATGTGGTAAATCCCACCCATGCAGTTTAAAAAGATGCTAATATTTGCTAAAACCTTCCAACCCAGACCTGGCTGGTCTAGCCATTCTGTCTGCATCTTCCTCTTCATTCTTCATCCGTCCTTTTCCCCTTTTTGCTCACCCACCTCCCGTTAAACCCTTATGGTTACTTAGGAGGTGTTTATTTTCTCATGTTGTTATTTCTTTCTTTCTTGTAGTATTAGGGTTAAATGCACACCTGTAGTTGTCAGGTGATGATTTAAAGGTTGATCTGAAAACAGATGACTATATTCTATGACTCAGAGTCCTGTAAGATATAAGACTCATGCCACCACTGGCAGTTTATACGGGACAAAAAGCTGGTCATGAGGCTGCATATACATACTCTTCTTATCATTCTTCTGACACTTGCATCGTCTTTTGCTTTTTTGACAACCCCCTCATTCCCAACAAACATGTATTTTTGTTTTTGTTCTTTTTTCCCCCTTTCATTAGTCGCTACCTATATGCAGATCCCCTGCACTGCAACATGACCTACTTGTTACTCAGGTTACTGAAGGATGATTTAAAAGAGTATACATATGCAGCCCGTCTGGCCGGGCTGGTGTATGGTGTAGCCTCGGGGATGAATGCCATCCTCGTAAGTAAACCGTTTGAAGTCTGGAGGGAAGAAAGGGTCCACTTTGAGGCTTTGACAGAGTGCACAAATGGCTTGGTTTTCTATGCTGTTTGATTACATAAAGTTCTGTGTGTTCAGTTTGTCCAACCTGAAGGACTTATGGAAATATATGCTTGCTATTGCATTCCCTGCAAACACCAACTTAATACTGTATATCACTTATACATATAGGAATACAGTCCTCTGGAAATGTCATTTGCTACTATATTGACATTATATTTCTACTTAAGATTAACCTAAATGAATTATAATTGTGTGAGAGAATCTGTTCATTAGATTTTATCAGAGGACAACATAAATGTCCATATGTTCTGTTTTTATTTATTGCCATGACACCTCAAATTAAGTCTGTCAAAAGACCCTTAATTTGTAAGATTGGTGTTTTTGAAATGAATTGATTAACATAATGGGTTTTCAGTTTAGCCCCCTGTGGCAATAAAACAGACAAATTTCAAACTTTGTGCAGACTTTCAGTGTGTCAAGGACACATCGGTGACTGATTTTACAGATTCACTTCCAAAATCCATTCAGGGTAATATATTCAGACAGTGCATGTGCAGGAGAAATGAACTAGATGGCACGATTTGCCTACACTGTCACTGCCTTACAGGTGGTAGATGACAAAGTGTCTCTGTCGCAAGAGATGAGGAATAAAGCCAAATGATGCGGATTCTCTGACATATTTATAGCCACATTTCTGCTGATGCAAGTGCACAGAGGACGTTGAAAGTTGATCTGTATCCAGGCAGTTTGATGGACATAATAAGGAGTGACTTGCTCAATCAGGCACCTCTTTGTTTCCCCAGTTTTACAGCATAATACAGCAGTTTTCTCAACTCTGTATGTGTGTCAGTGATTTAATGTTGCACAGCAAAGTAACAACCAACCCATGACTGAAACCGGTTTGCAGTGGTGATGTTTAGCTCCGGCCTTTCAAGCTTTCTAATTCCTGCACTAACACTCTGCACCCTTGACCCAGTAACATTCATTCATCAGCAACCTCTCACCAGTGCATTCATGATTGTGGTGTGTCGTCAGGAACAGCTATTCAACACACTATATGTGTAGTTATGTGCGGCTCTGTAAGTAATTGATTTGAGTCAGCAGTATTGGTGTGGCTGGCCTGGTGTTTGTCAAGGTTAATGATGTTAGGAGAGATTACATTTAACAGGTGTCACTGCAGGGACCTGGGGGGAGGATGGGATGAGTCTGAGAGTGTAGCTGGAAGTTTTGCTGAATCATGAAGGGCCATAAGGTGTGGATGATATTGCAAAGTGGAGGCTTTAAATAACCTTGACTGTTCTTTTCCATTTTTAAAATGCTCATTTGCATAGAAAAACCACATCATCCTCCACTTATGCCTGTTCTGACTCCCTGAGATACCACAGTGAAATATGTTTGCACTGCAAGAGTTGATGAAGTGATACTTCCTAATATAAATCAGCCTTTTGTTTATTTTATTTTTTACCCTACTGGTCGATAGGTATCTTTTAACATAATATGTTCCTCTTAGTTTAAGTTTATTATATTTTGAAACATTTTAAACAAATGTAGATGTACTTTTACATATTTTGTGATATTTATTGTAGTGGTGATGACTCATCTTCAGTGGGGGAGGGTCTTTTCTTGACGATCAGTCAGCCAATAATTACATTCAACCACACATTATCAACAGATGGGTCCAAACTTTCAAATCAACAAATGAAACTACAGTATTACCTGTAAAACACTTTGACCACCGATCATGTCAGGCTCACCTTATCTTTCTGTTTGTTGATAATGTACCACCTTTCCTGTCACTGCCTGCTGCAGCTGTCTGTTAAAGGTTACAGTGACAAACAGCACATCCTGCTGAAGAAGATCATTGAGAAGATGGCCACCTTTGAGATAGATGAGAAGCGCTTTGACATCATCAAAGAAGCGGTAAGCTCTAACTGCAAATCAGTAGTTAAGTTATGATGAGTCATGATCGATGGAACAAATGACTTTTAGCAACAGCTAATGTTAACCCCTGGGTATTCAGAACATATTTCACTCTACTTTACACAAGGGCAGTGAAGTAGCAGCAGTAGTAGTTTTGATATTATACTTCTTAAAATCTAGATCATAAAGTGTTGATGTTGAACTGACTTTTTATTCTCTTTCTCCCCGCAGTACATGAGGTCTTTGAATAACTTCAGAGCCGAGCAGCCTCACCAGCATGCCATGTACTACCTCCGTCTACTAATGACCGAGGTTGCTTGGACCAAAGATGAGCTCAGAGAGGCTCTGGACGGTGAGACACTGCTCATAATTCCTCTCTTTCTCTCTTTACTTATGTCTCAAAGTCCCAGTTCTACTGTGGGCTAACTGAGATTACAGAAATACAAAATAAATGCATAGCCAAGCCCGTCTTCAGGCTTGACCTGAGCAATTGAAGCTTGGGGCTGTGTAGCAAGTGTATGAGTTTGAATAACGTACAACAAATGTATTTCCCGGTTCATAGGCTGGAGTGCCTGGGTTAAAGTTTCAAAGGCTTGCACTCGATGCAGGGCTCCTCTCACTTTAGGTCTTCTTCTGTTTTCCTCCTTAAATCCTCATTTGAATGCTAAGACTGTTCTCCAGCAGATGCCTCCCTAGCTGCAGTCTTTCCCCTTCGCAGTGCCAGTCTGGAACCTGAAAGGCAGATTGTTATATTTAAACCACGGAGCTTACACAGACTATCCTCGGATTCACATGAGACTCAATTAACCTGCAGGGTCAAAACCTGTAGCCCAGTCACCAGGGTCTCCAATTACCACGGCTAGCTCCCTTATCAGTGTCCTCTCGCTTCTGCCGTCCCCTGCCTGGGCTCTATAAGACATTTTCGGTCTCTTGTTTCCTAGTGTGTGTGTTGGTGTTGATGTTGCTGTGGACAATTTAGATAAAGTGTGTGTGTGTGTGTGTGTGTGTGTTCCTGTAGTAGCTCATCCTTGAATCTGGGTCAGACGTTGCTTGAATTTAGATTGGCCAGCCCGCATTGAGAAAGACTTTATTTTTTTTGTTTGAATGTAAAAGTGTGTGTTTTACCAGGCTTGCATGATTGTCTAACATGTAACCACAGATGTCTTGTTTGGGATGGGAATATACTGCATGATGAAATCGTTAAACACACACAGCAGTTATTCCTTTTTTTTTTTTTTTTGTTTTGTTTTTGCTCTTTAGTGTTGGTCTTGATGGTATCTTGGGAATTTGCCCTTCGATTTATTGCTGTTGTCTGTGATCTGTATTCCAGATGTAACTCTCCCACGCCTCAAGGCCTTCATACCTCAGCTATTGTCACGATTACATATTGAAGCCCTTCTTCATGGCAACATCACCAAGGAGGTTTGTCACCGGACTCACTGTATTTTTACTGCCAGCTGAGGGAATTAGAATTTTGTTTCTGCTCTGCCTTAATGGATTTGTAAATTGTAAAAATAGTGCTGCTTTCCCTTCATATCAATGCTCCAAGTTTTGTAACGTTTGTATGCCCTTTTCTCAGGAAGCACTGAATACACCTTTTATTCTCAAACATTTGAGTCGCCTTCAACATTTTATCTAACCCCCCAATGGTATCAGAGAGGATTATTGTCAGAAACCTCTTATAAGATCCTACAACCAAGTCACATTTTATGAGGTCCCAGCAGTCACAGCGCCCACCTTACGCCTTGTAATGATGACAGAGTCACAGTCTGGTGGAGAGAGAATTTGACTCACCAGTGGGAGCAATGATCCATTTCGTCATCCTGGAGCTACAGCATGGGCCTGCTCCTGTAACACCAGAGCAAGAGCTGACCAAGTAGTTTAGCAGAGAATCCTACATGATTTAAATCGGGTAGTCATGTTTTGATGAAAAATTGTATTTATTAGTTAGCAAAGAAGGCCAAATAGAATGCAGGAAAACTTCACCTTAAACGTAGAAATTTAAAAAACACTTTTGTTGCAAGAACAGCTAACCTTGTAGTACACGTACCTCTCCACTCTGAAACCCTGTCATAGTCTGACCTGAAAACCTCTTTTGTTAGCTAAAGTCCACGCCATATAAAGCCATATTAGCTATGGCTATACCTATGATTAAGTCTATAAACTGCAGTGAAGTTGGCTCAGTAATAAAACAGAAAAAACCCTAATTTCCCTTTTTAACCCTTAGTGGTTTGGTTTTTATCTAAAAGGTTGTGTGATCTGCTACTGAGACTACTGCTCAGCGTAACCCACAGAACTCAACTATTTTATAATTATTTTATGCTTATGGTTTAAAACCAAATACTAAAATAGTCCACAGTCAGGACTAGAGTACCACAAGCAAAATTCCATTCACTGTCTCCGTAGTCGTATATAGCAACATATCTCACAGCCTTTGCAAATATAAGCAAAACTATCTGCATAACAAGTTAATGGAGGTGAGAAATGTACATTGAATATGGAATATCACTACAGATTTTAGGTGGATTTGAGCGAGCAATGCATTACATGTGTATCATTACTCTGCGACACAGGTTGAGGGAGGAAAAGGGTCCAACGTTACTTAATTCGGGTCACGAAGAATCCACAGCTTAAAGCAACCTGTTGTGGAACATCAGAAGCAATTCTGGTGAATGCACACAGAACATCTCTATCTGAAATAGGAGCCAGGTTAAGGGAAAGTGTGCATAACAGAAAAGTAAATTACACGTTCTTGTAGAGCTTAACATCAGAGCTAAACGCTACTTTCTGAGTAGAATGTTGCTTTAAAAATACTGTTTGTGGACTAAAATGTTTTCTTTTCCCTCCCTGTCTGGCATCGCTCTAGTCTGCTCTTGGCATGATGCAAATGGTGGAGGACACGCTCATTGAGCACGCTCACACAAAGCCACTCCTCCCGAGCCAACTGATTCGCTACAGAGAGGTGCAGGTTCCAGACGGTGGGTCCTGTACTCCCCCTCATCCCATTCTCACACACGCGCACACACACACAAGCGCTGTTTATCATCATCTGTCAGTCACGCCTGTCTCCACAGCGACCATGCAGAAGAGGCCTTACACAGCGCTCTTGCCCTCGTCATCAATGACGGATGTGTTGCGTTTGTAAAGACTTGATTAAATTCAACATCCCTCATTTCCCTCAGAGGAATATAATAATCAAAGAGTGGAAATGGACGTCATTGGGCAAAATACATGCACACCTTCCTCTCAGTTCAAAGATGAATGTTCACACGCCAAGCAAAAGCACCTGTGCTGCCTTTTTGATTACATTAGGAAAGTCGAGTGGTGTGGAGAGGAAAACCAGAGCTCCACGGGGCCACCTGGAGACATCCTGTGTTTCACCGAGGGATTTTCCAGGCTTGGCTCCAGACTGCCAGTCAGACACAGAGCAGGAGCACAGGAGAAGGGCAATAAAGGATGTAAACACCAAGCTGGCTTATGAAATGACTGACTGGCTGACAGTTTATCCAAGAAACACGTTATTAATCTCATTCCTGAAAGCTTTAGAGCAGATAGCTCACAGAAATCTGGCCAGTGATCTTTAAGTCAGCATGTGATTTAAATGCAATGAGAAAGAGAGCCTATCTCTTTTAAATTGATTGACAGGCTTTTTAATACATGCGCTAACACTAGAAAACAAGTAAATCTACAACAAAAGTTATTAATGTGCAGGCACAAAATACTGGCCTGTAATTTAAATGGCTTTAAAAGCCCAGTATGCCATATGCAGTTTGACTTCTTAGTATGCAGTATTTAGTATGTCACGGTTGTTTGGGGGTGATTGAAAGCTAGGTTATGCTACATTAACAGCGTGATGTTTAACAAGCTGTGACAAAACAAAATACACAGTGGAGACACAAGCCTGAACTTTCCACACATTCCACATTTGAGGTTTGATTAATCAAAGAGCTTATCTGTCCAAAACATTTTAATGTTGCTTTTTTTTGTTGTTTTCTAAGTAAACTTAAATAAAACTTTTGACGTATGTGAATAATACTGCTGAGGAGATGCTGAGGACTGTGGACATGACGCTCCCTGAGCGCAGAGCCAAAGTGCTCCGTCAGCATGTGCATAAAGGTATCTGCATTACCCAGCCTCCACTCGTCCTCTACTCAAAGTGAACTTGATCACAATAGACTTAAACAAACTGAAGCTGAGCGTAAAAAAGAAGCAGTTTTCCCTTTGCTAGAATGGCTGGCTCCTCTCCATGTTCTGCTCAAAAGAATTGAAAGTACAGATGACAATTCGGAACCACTCCAGAGAAAAGCGCAGTGTTGGCATTCAGCAGAATGTCTCCACCTTTCTGAACACTGTCCTCAGTTTTCTTAACTTTCCTGTTTTACCTCCCTCAAGCATAACTGCATATCTACAATTGCAACAGCTCCTTTGCTTTTTTTTTGCAGCTGTTACTTTGTTTTTGAAAGACCTGATTATACACCCAGGGGTCATCGTTTGGAATGGATTATATATTGGTTTACAGCTAGGCGAGTGAAATTCATTTCCATGCTTATCGGAGTTCATAGATGACTGTGGACTTTAGGGTAATGGAAAGGATTCTACTTTTAACTACTTATTACACACACACAAATATGGGATATGAAACGATTGCTTTCAGTTTGTCTTCTATAATCTGTTTTTGCTTAAAAACTGGAGCAGTACAACAAGAGATGGGAAGGAAAGGGGTTATATTTTTGAAGTACAAAAACCTGTAAATTACTAATAATATTATCAAATAATATTTTGATACAAATTACTTAAATATTTTCATTCTTTCTTCAGTGCCCACAAAATATGTCTGCTTCTTCAGTTACTGCTTTTTGTTTTTTAAGCCCTGCCCTTTTTTCTGTTTCTGTATTTCCAACTGAATTTGTTTACTATGTGTGATTTACCCTACTGGGTAAAAAAAAAAGTAACACAATATTCTCGTGTTCCTCACAGGTGGCTGGTATGTTTACCAGCAGAGGAATGAGGTGCACAACAACTGTGGCATTGAGATCTACTATCAGACAGACATGCAGACCACCCACGACAACATGCTGCTGGAGCTGTTCTGTCAGATCATCTCTGAGCCCTGCTTCAACACACTGAGAACCAAAGAACAGCTGGGTGAGCCTGCAAAACACAAAAAGATGATGGAGAAAGTATCACGTGCTGCATTCTTCAACACAGTTTTCAATATACTGGATACAGAGATAAGCAGTTGTGTTTAATTTTGCTACCAAGTTGTGAATATTTATTCAGGCATGAAGGCATTTTTCTTTGAGAATTATGCAGCTTTAATCTGCCTCTAGTAATTAGATACTACTTAGATGCTGCCAACCATGATGATGTTTAATGGCTCAGGGAGTGAATGGAATGAGTCTCTTTCCTTGAACTTTCCTTGGAAGCAAAACTGTAATAATAGTGCCAGACCTAAAATTGAAATCAAGATAAATATAGAGACAATAAAACAATAAGAATATGCTTACTGTGAAATGTTTTTGAGACTACTTAAAAGGCATCTACATGAGTATATGATTGTGAAGTTAAAACAAAATGGCCTTTGAACAGTTGTTCTGCAAAAGATATGGTACCCTGTCTGTCCTTTGTGCTGAGCTCTTGCACATCCCCCCCTCCCCCAGGCTACATTGTGTTCAGTGGGCCCCGCCGAGCTAACGGAGTGCAAGGCCTGCGCTTCATCATCCAGTCGGAGAAGGCACCCCACTACCTGGAGAGCCGTGTGGAGGCTTTCCTCTGCACCATGGAGAAGGCTGTGGAGGAGATGAGCGAGGAAGCCTTCCAGAAACACATCCAGGCCCTGGCTATCCGCCGCCTGGACAAACCTAAGAAGCTGTCTGCTGAGTGTGCAAAGTACTGGGGAGAGATCATCTCTCAGCAGTATAATTTTGACAGAGGTGAGGCCTCCCAGCAGTCCTCTTCACCTCACAGCTAACTCTTAATTATGTTTTGGTTCAAGGTCAAATGCACCCATTTTTTTTTTTAAGTGTGTTGAAATGTCTTTGAAAATTATAAACGGCTTGTGTTACGTGGAAAAGGAAAGTTTTTTGAGAGTTATCAATATTTTGGTCAGTCCCAGAGGTGAGCAGGATGTTGCTTAGAGCTGCACAAATTGGGATCGATTAAAGCCTGAAATAATCTGCAGCCGTAGCATACCTCTCTCTTGCAGCACTCTCCTGAGTGCCGTAATGGATCGTAATGGGCCTGATTCACTAGTAATCTGCCTAAAGCCCTGAGTGATGGCAACACTGAAAGGCTGCCAAGGGAGTGGTGGTGATTACCGACACTAGCCACTAGCAAGCCCCTCCTCTGCACTAGCAGTGGGAAGGAGAGTCAGCAGAGCGAGGGCAACTAACGCGCACAAGGCCACGGGAAAAACATACAACACACAGCATTAGTCAGAGCTTACACAGACTGCTCTGCGGTTAGTTCATTGTTTCCCTTCACTTGATTCAGTAATCATTTTTTACGTTTTGTCCAAAAAGATGCTTAATTTCATTTGGTTAGATTCTGTTTTTGGTTTAGTGTCAAACTGTTCATTGCAGTGGAAACTCTTGATTTGAAAAATCGTCCCAACAATGAGAAAAAAAATTATACTTGTTTTCCACTCGTAGTTGAACACACCAATATATAACACGGCTTTAAACCCCTGGTGCTTTCAGTTGCTTATTATTATGCAGCACCAGGAACATTGACCAACTTTCACTATGATGGATTAGTAGTCCCTGCAAGATTATTGTTTAAACCTCATTGACAGGAAGTGAAACTGCTGGCTGCCTGCAGAGGTAAGCAATAGAAACTATTGATGCAGTTTGGAAAATAATTTGATGTTACCTTAGTATTCGGGCTAAAAATGTACCTCATGTGCAGTCCAGCTCCTCTTTGAAATGCTCTTCTTAGGTTTTGAGCAGTGCAGTAGTGAAATTAATGTTAATAATGTTCACCTTTTTGTTTGCCTTGCTGTGTTGCAGATAACATTGAAGTGGCATATCTGAAGACTTTGACAAAAGAAAACATAATGCACTTCTACAGAGTAAGTAGTACAACTTTTTGTCTTGCGTCATCCTCCCCTTGAATGCATTTGACAGTGAACAGTGGCAGAGTCTGTCCTCTGCTGCTCCTCTCACTCAGCCCTATGTCTCAGCCAAATATTTCATGGTTCTTGAGAGAGATGTGTGTACATTACCTAAGTGTTATGGCAACAAATAAAATACACATTTTGCATTCCTTGTAAATGTTCAAAGGCTACATGATGATCGCATTTTCGATATAAGAGCACTATCACACCACCGACTCCAGACATACATGGTTTTGCTGAATTCAGTCTGCCCTCCGAGCTTTCATCTCCTCCGACCTCCCGCTTCTATTCATAGACGTGGAGGTGACACTGACGCAGGGCGCTCACAGCATATATCAGCTGCCATAATGACAGCCAGCCAGCCTGTTTCAAGGGGTATAAAGGGCCAAAGACACACACACGCTGAAAGAATTGGCATTATCTCAGCCCTGCAGAAACCATCACAGGCCGCATGCAGAATAAACCTAATGCATTTCTAATGTGCTATCAGCTGCCATCGCAGGGGCATTTTCTCTTTCTCATTTTTGGACACCAAGAGTTGACACTGTGTGACTGCAGACGAGCCAAATCTTCAGTCTAAAATAATCCTCCATCCAGAGACAGTGATGGGGCCCAACTGTGTAGCTAAACCTCCGCATGGCTGTCAGAACTGATCACAGACTCACGCAGGCCACACAGAGTCTCTTCCTCTGGCAGCAACACTTCCAAAGGGTTTTTAACACACTGATGAGTCATTTCAGTTATGGACAGTAACTATTGTTGTTACCAAAATGTATATGTGGCCATTTAAATAATGAATTAAACTTGGTTACAGGATGCTATTTGTCATGAAAACCGTTTAAAAAAAAAAAGTCTGTCCCCCTGCAGGACCGCCTGACAGTCGAAGCCCCGAAGAGACACAAGGTGTCTGTGCACGTCCTGTCCAGAGAGATGGACTCCTGTAAGTATCTGTGTTCACACCTTAGTTTCATGGGCGTTATTTCTCAGCGGGTTCATTCAGTGTCAGGTTGACCTGTACGCCACTGTTTGTGTTTACCAGGCCCAATAGTAGGAGAGTTCCCCGCTCAGAATGATGTCAACCTTGCCCCTGCTCCTTCCCTGCCACAGGTAATGACCATGGTCTTTCTTTATGTCTCTGTGTCCATTAACCTGACAGCTTTCCCAACTACTGAGACGTATTCACTTTATTCAGGTTTTTGTTACTTGACATTTGCAACGGCACTGAGTAAAATAAATCCCAAAATTCATGCAACACGACATCAACAAGCAGCACACACTGGTGATATTCTATATTTTGCATATTGTTGGTTTTGACCATCTGTGAATTGATTGTACTAACAAGTATTGTGTGTAGCCAAAGCCTGATATCTCTCTGTGCCTCAGAGCTCCACTGTTGTCCAAAAGCTATTAAAAACACACCAGTGAGCCACACTGCTGCACTGACATGTTCCTTCATTAACCATGAACACACACACTGTTGTTTATTTTGAATTCCCACACACACACACGTCCTGCAGAAATATTCACTAGAGCACCAAATGTGTATTAAGAAAATAGTCAACAACAAAAAATCTATTTACACGTTTCTGTAACATTTGCTAACAACTACAGTGACTAGAAGTTTTACCAAAAATGTGTCTTTATAAAAAAAATAAAAATAGATATATATATTTTTTTAATTTTATTTATTTTTTAAGATTTATGCCTTTCGGGGCCCAGTACCACAGACAGGAAAGTATTGAGAGACGGTGTAACATTTTGTTTGCTTTTGTCCTTTTTCATGGGATTTGTTGAAACATACACCATCTCAGATGAGGTGTGGTGTGCGCATCCCTGTTGCAGTAATTCTCTGTTTTATTTTAGGTGGTTGACATTTTGCTCAAGGCAAAAAAAGTTTGCAGCATCTTGCTGATACAGGAACACTGACTACATTTGTAGGCGCTTCTGCTAAGTTAGGAAGTACAAACGGTGGAAACAATGTGCATGTAGCTATTTTTGCTATCAGCAGCAATTGCAGTTTAGGGAGGGCTTTGTCCTCAAGTGAACAGACGGAGCAGAACAGTGAGAAGACGTCAGACATCAGTGGGAATGCCACTCTGACCTGCCCTCTCTTACCCTTGCAGCCCACATTGGTTCAAGACATGACGGAGTTCAAGAGGAGCCTGCCTCTCTTCCCCCTGGTCAAGCCTCACATCAACTTCATGGCTGCCAAACTGTGAGCGAGGCCGGCAGCTCGACACGCAGCGGCACGGGGGAGCGCCGGGGAGGGCGTCCACAGGAGAGCCCGCTGTGTTTCCCACCTACACACCCCCCTCCCTTCCTCCCGTCAGGAAGACTTTCATCTGACCGAGCCTGCATTAGCGTGTGTTTGTGTGCGTGTGTGCATGCGTGTGTGCATGTGTGGCAGGCTGGAGCCACTAGAAGACAAACGCGTGTATTCGAATCACAAAGTTAGCCGTGGTTGTCGACATAGCCGTGATGACGATAGAGGTCACACCAGACTCATGTTAAGTCTCTTGAAGTGAGATGTAACGCTCACACGCATCACAAAACTGTGTAGGCCGTTGTAGAGGAAATAGAAATGTTTAAAAAAAACAAAAACAAAAAAAAACAGACAAGGGCCAGGTCCCTTTTACATGAGTATACTGCAGAGGCTTCACAATAGGAGGCGTTTTATTTGAATTATTCAGACATGCTGCTTTGAGAACGGATAGTTGGTTTATTGTGTTGAAGTGAGGGCTGCAGAGTTTAGAGACTGTAGTTCCATGAAGGTCTTCTTTTATTTGTTGGACCGGTGTGTTTGCCATGTAACTCTCTGAGGCACCACAGCGCTCCTGAAAATGTTATCACAAAAAGACACACTCGGGTCAAATGGAATATTTTATTCAAATGTATGCATTGCTGAGGAATATCTGCCTTTATACTTATGGTTTTAATCCTCACAGGTTTTGAGATATTTTTGCTTGTAAACTGGTAAAATGTTGGGACCCTTTGAGGAGCTGTTTGAAATTGCTCACGGCAGAGAACCATTCACATGAAAATTGTTTTTATTTCGGGGTTTTTTTTTTTTTAAATTGCATTTTACATTAGTACGTAATTCAGACATCTCAGGGGTACCTCCATGCTGTTTTTTACATTCAATTTTACTAGTGGTTGACTAAAAATAAAAACTTAAATATGTCATTTACAGTAGTACTTTGTTCACTTCACTAAATGTGATCAAATCCTTATTGGTCTTGGCTGCAGAGACGAGCAGTGTTTTTAGTTTTTTCTAAGCTCTTCTTAGTCTGTCCGAGACTTGCAGACTTTCTGCAGCTTGTGCCTTTCCAGGGGGGCATCAGTTAGTTTGTATCTGACTGAACTGAACTGCTCCTGGTCTGATCTGGGGCAGAATCCTGGAGGATCTAACCCCAGCCCCCCTCCACCCCCCAAATTGCTGGACTGTGCACTGGCTCTTACAGCATAGGTGTCAAAAAAGCAGCTAGCCTTTTTTTCTCTGAAAAAAACAAAAAAAAAAACAAAGCATTTCATGTTGATGCCTAAAGCGGAAGAAAAGCACCAGTCTGGATTATTTTTCCTGAATATATGCACTTTTCTGACTAAGCAATAACCTAATGATGTGTACAGGGGACACAGTGTGTGACAGAAGGAGATGTGGCTCTGCACTGCTGAGTAGCTACAGCAGCTGGATCCACACTGATCCAAGCTCCAGCTTAAACCGCGTTCGATCTGAGCGCACGGACATTGATGTCAGAGCGGCGCAAGCATGACCTGCTCTCTCAGGTGTACACCAGCTTTGCTGTGAAAAACCACTGCTGGTGGAGCTGCCAACCCTGGTCACACAGCCAACCATCCGTTATGATTTAATTCCCCTCTAATACCTGCTCTCAGGCTCACTCACATGATGCTGCATCGTTTAAGAATTATTTAAGTTATGATTGTGCTGTAGCAAAAGCTTCGTCAATGTTTTCCAGCATTTTACTATGTCTCAACCAGATCAAAACCATTTCAATTTGTGTTTAAGAGTTACAGCCTCCCCTCCTCCCTTTCATTATCAACTGCTTCAGGCAGTACTCTTTTGCGGTCAAACCCCAAAGACAACCAGCAGCATTAGGTAGACCTTCACTCCCACAGGCAGTAGCTTGACAGCACCTGGGGAAAGTGACAGCTGTTTTCATGCAGCGCTCAGCAGAAACTAGCAACATTACATATCAGGCTTGGGTGGGCCTTGCACTGTTTACCATCTGAAGTACCTAGTGTTTGGTGTACACTAAAGAAATCTGAAGCGCTTTCCCCCCCATGGATGTCTGGCTGGTGAGGTTCATGGGCCAGTGATACATTCTCAGTTTGTTTTTGTTGTCTGTGTGTTTCTAATTAATAAACTACTGAATGGAACTGTTTTTATTATTCATTTCCCTCTCTACAAACGACACATGCACTTCAATGTTGGAAAAATACATTTATTCACATAACGGATGCCGTAGAACTCCAAACTCACAAGCAATGTCCGTACAACACAGATCACACTTTGTCTCTTTTGGCGGAGTGGATGCTTTTACAGTGAACGTACCGGGGAAGTCGCGGCTTGCAAGCTGGAGGAGGATGTCTGAAGCTGGCACAGTTTTCATGTGCTAGTTAAGTGGTCAGCTATGTGCCGTGCCTCGGTCCTCTGAAAATTGTCACATGAAAAACTGACATTGATCACATGCTGCCACTGATTTAAAGCAAACCCATTTACTATTAGTGCTATGTTAGTCAGTTCACTGAAATTACAAAAAGCCCTCACTTAATCCTCTGTAGATACAGTACTTTCTTCCAGGTTTTGACATTTCCATTGCTTTGAGAAATGGTGTCCCAGTTAATTGAGATTGCTGTCAAGAGTTTTAATTTTGTACTTAAAAATTCCAGAATTAAGACATTTGAAAATTGTATTTATTGTAAAAGGCAACTGAGGTGTAGGCAGAAATAAATATCTGCACAGCTAGTGAGGAGAAGCTTGTTCTTAATTTGATTGAACTGGCCCTTTAATTTCCTGCCAACAGCTCCAGAAGGGGAACTGTATGTTGAATAAAAAGACAGACAGAAAGTCCAGACTAAGTTGTAGGTTTCACATCTCCCAGAGAAAAGTGCTGCATCAGTTCCCCGAAACTTTCATAATGCTCAGTCACTGCAAAAAGCTCTGATTAAAAGGATTAAAGCATCCACATTCTCCATCCACCGTCTGACAGACGGCCTTATGGCAACAGGCTCGACGGGTGATGAAGCTTTAAAAACGCATCAGTTACTGGTGTTTTGCAAAAACAGATAACGTTAGACAATTTTACGTGAACACTGCCAAGGCATGTGAACGAAAAAATTAAAGACACCCCTCAATGCAGGGGGTCTAAAACACCTATATTAACATCCTTTCAGTGGTCAGGGTTTAGATGGTTCTCTTTAGAGTCGCATTAAGATTAAACCTCAACAGTCGCAACACATTCTCGCAATTCTTCCTGGTTGTGGGTAATGTACTGCGTCATGATTCACAACACGTTTTATTGTTTTATCAGGAATACATTCCACTTTCACACACTGAACATTAATCACCATTCAATATAAACCCCAACGTTGGCAAAGGGGGCTTTTCAAATCCGCAAACTAAGCATTATAAAACAATTTATAATTATTATAAAACTAATTACACATGCCCCGCATCGTCTTCCTTTAAAATACAGCAAGTTTACAATAAGTATTAGTTATGTGATTTTGGAAGCACGTCCACCCCACAGTCACAGCACGAGTTCTTGGAAAAGAGATGGGGGGGGGGGGGGGGGGGTGTTGTGTGTAACCATGCTCCAGTCTGTGTCCACAAGTCTCATTTTTCTTCTTACGAAAGCGTCGGGAGTAAAAATGTGTAGTGGTGGTGGGGATCCTTGCGTGGATGTCAGCGACAGACGGGGGTGGTGGGGGGGGGAGGTGTAGGAGGGTGGGAGTAGGTTGTAAGGGTGGCACTGATCCCAAGTTTGTTTCACCAAAACTTCCTGCTCAGAGTCTGACAGTTTATATCCTCCCCTCCCTCGGCCCTCAGACAGAGGTGTGCGGTTTGTCCGGCTGTCCTCCGGCCTTCGGAGCCTCCTCAGGCTTCCTCCTGCTCGGGGAAGTTGAGGATCTTGCGGTGGGCTTGCCTCAGGTACTGCTGCTGTTTGAAGTACACCTTAAATGCCCCCTTGATGGCCACAAAGGCGATACCTCCCTGTAGGAAGAAAAATATATGGTGAACGAGGGCTTAAAGACATCAAAGCTCCCCCCCCCCCCCCCCACCAATGGCTTAAGAAAGATTTTAATTTCCACGCTGGCTGTCACATATGACAGCACCTGACATCCCATAAACACATACACAGATAAACAGAGGGGAGATCTCCCTGGTTGCTGCCTGTCCAGCTATGAGCAAAGAATATTCTGAAACGGGTACAATGCTACATTGCAGTTTCAGTGTAAATGACGGCACAGAAAGAGTTAAGAGTAGCTCAACATTTCGGGAAATGCACTTCTTGCTGAGTGTTAGAGAAGACCGATACCGCTCTCATGCCTGTACGGTAAATATTAAGCTACAGCCAGCAGCTGTATACAGACTGGAAACAGCTAGCCAGGCTCTGTCGACAGTAACAAAATCTACCCGTTTCTTATTCTAGTATGGAAATTTTAGTAATGCTTAGATTATTGTTTAGACTTACAGGTTTATTGTGAACAAAACCATTGGAGCTTTGTCAGATAAAAAAAAAGGGCTGGAGAACAATTATCGCAATATAATTTTCTCAACAATATAACAAATGTTCAATAAATGTTTGATAGTATTCACTCGAATCATACACAAATTTTACTGATGCATATTTGACAAAATTTTTTATCATACTTGTTTTGAAGGTTCTACCTCAGATTTGTGAAGTGATCTACTGTTTGTCATCTTCTGACCAAAAAGAAGAGTTTAAACCAGTTAACAATCAGGTTTCTTCAACTTTCACTCAGGAGCAAAAATCAGCCTTTAAACTCAAAGGAAATAACAATTTGATACGCATTGTGATAATCATCGATATCAAAAGATATGAAACTATCGTGATAATCGTCATATCGTCCGTATTAAAAAAAAAAAACCTGAAAAGAAATAAAAAGCAGAAATTACTAAATAGGTGAAGAAAAGAAAAGTGTGTCGAAGTACGACCACTAACAAATCATTCAATGCCGTTATTGCAATGGAACTTTTAAAAGTGCAATAACGTCAACAACTGTTTCGCTCTTCAATGTTTGCTTTTGTCAACAAAAACCTTGAAATTTCATGCTTGGTGTTTCTCACATTTTAATATAATACATAAAAGTAACCTGTCTGAACATCTTTGGATAACTAAACCTCCTTCCTGCAAAGGTGAATCTTTGGCTCCACCGAGCTTTCAGTCTGTGTCACTTAATTCAGTTCAGCTTTATTAGCATGAATGTAAAACGACACTCAGAGCTCAGCCGATTAGGACGGAGCTTTCATAGCATCAGCGCAGCCCAGATCCCCTGAGCCACTCTGGTTACCTCTCTGTCTCCCACAACTAGGTGAGGGAGGCCGTGAGGTTTCTCTTTTGTACGAATGGCTTCAACACTAGCTGAACTAAAACAAGGGAAGCAGGAACAAAGTATTACCATTTAACTCATCGGAACACCTACAGAATTATTTAGATTTATGAACTAAAGTCAGCAGCAGAGCCGGTTCCATTCTGAGGGGTGGCCAACAGGCAGAAGCTCCAATTATCGAACGCACTCACGTGTGTTTTCTGTATCGGATGTGCGAGGGATTTCTGGTTGTACCCACCAGGATGGTCCTCTGCAGGTTGGAGTTGACGCTGCTGAACATGAGCTTCCCCACGATGGTGGCGATGGTGGGGAAGACCAGAGCGCCACACAGGATCCGCGTGGCCGACACGTGGTCCGCCAGGGGGCTGGCCTCTGCCGGGATACGAGGAACTGGGCAGCCAATCCCTGCAGAGACGCACAGACAGCGGCAGGGAGCCAGGTGAAACATACATGATTGGATTTGTACGAGAGATCAGCTGATCTAATAAGCGGGGGCGGGGGGGGGGGGGGGTCATACAGACTGTGCAGTACAGACTTCTACATGGCCAACAGCAGAAGCAGAAAGACAATGAGTACATTTCTGAGTGATAGGGGTTTCTACACAGTGTGTGTCCTGACCAGGGAATATGCTGTTGAGGATCTGCAGTTTGTTAGAGTACTTCCTCCACAGACGCAGGACGTAGTCCTCCCAGCGGATCATCTTGCCGAGGATCAGCATGACAGGGATGGTTGGCAGGCCAATGAGCAGGAACAGAGGGTCGGCCCGCTCCATAACGTCCAGGCCCTCCTTATGGCCCACCACCTGGAGAGCAGACGGGACGGTGAGAATGGAAAACTACAGCAGAGGAGTGAAACTGGTCGACTTTTACTTAGAAGTGAGAAGGAAAGACTCAGAGGCGAGCACAAAAAGGGGCTGAGACTTGGACACGTCTAAACATAGTTTTGTAAAATTGGTAAATGTCCAAAAAGAAATGAAACTTGTCAAACTGCTTTTAGTACACTAGGATTTGAATTTGGAGTCAAATTCACAACCTTAACTAGACTAATCAGACCCATTTTACAAAAACCACCTCTGAGGGGGGTCAGTGGCCGTACCTGCATGACCGTGACCGCTCCGTAGGTGACGGCAGTCCAGTAGATTGAGCCCACCATGATGCCAGCTGCAGCGAAGGGGCCGGCCTTAGAGATGAGCCGGTCTGCCAGGTCCAGCACGTAAACCACGGGACCTGAAGGAGGAACAAAGGAAGTGAGACAAGTGGTGCACACGCAACTGTTATTTTGAAGTTCTTCCCACCACTGTTTGGTGTGTAGTCAACAGACGCCGATGCACAGGATCTCATTAATTGGGGTTTTAAAAATTCCGATAACGAGATGTCGGTTGAAAGACATTTTTAAACTTAGATGTGTTTAAGAATTTTGACTGAGATACATACTGAGCACCGTTAGTAATGGCACTTCTGTTCTGCAGTTTCATTAGTGATCAGCCAACATATTCATAGATACTGATATTTGTTTTAAGTTAATGGCTTTTACCATTTCAGACCGTTATTCCTACAAGGTCAGAAATGTACGAGACTAAATCAGACATTATTCAGCAATATCTGATGGAGGGTGGTCTGTGGTTTTAATTCCCTTTATTTTTTTATTTTATTTAATCCCAGCTAACGCCAGTGCAAAAAGACTTATGCAAATCCACACATGGACATCCGGTCACTGGCAAACATTCAAACACATTTTTGTTACGGTGTCTCGAAATGTCATTTACGTGAGAGGGAACACTCTCAAAGTCTGCAGATCCTGCTTAAGAGACAGCACTGAAGCCAAATGTAAGGTAACACAGCCAGTGAACAGTGAGAGAGTGTACAGCAGGGGTCATGAGACTCCTGCTGGTGAAACACCCATGGGGAGTAGAAAAGCATCTAAACTTCACACATACACATCTATTCAGCCATCATTGTATGTCCTACTCGTGTAAAAGAGGTAAAGAGACGCAGAAATCTAACCAGCACTGTGACCTGTAACCGTTTCCATTTCTACCTATGGGCTGAGTTAACTGTCGAACAATGAAATACTTGGAAGACACGAGGAAGCTCGCACTAAACACTGCAACAGGAAAAATGACAATGCAGTCATGTGAAAGTTAAAGAAAAACGTTGAGGCAGGCCAGGTATGGTGCACACCTTGCATTGCAGGGTTATTAACAGACAGGGAGGAGGGTGCTCAGGCAGGTTCCACCAGGCTTAAAAATAACTGGGCTGTTTCACAAGCATGTAAAATGGATTAATCTGAAGTCCAAACTTGTCTTCAGAGCACCTACGTCCCCGCCTGACAGGAGGAGGAGGAGCGGGACCTAAAAAAAAAAAAAAAAAAAAAAAAAACCCTACTGCATCCTCTCTGGCATTCCAGGCTGACTCGAGGGAAATCATGCAATATTTACAGGGAGGCAACCTGATTTCCTCACTCAGACAGACCCATCCATATCCTATTAATAACTCGTCCAGGAGTCAGTGGGAGGAGAGTGGGGTGGGGATGCTACCAGAGGAGCCGAGCACTCAACAGCACCGGGTCCTGTAGGCTGAGAGTTACAATGCAACTCAAACTGCAAGATATGAGCCACAGCCCAGAGGAACTACTGGCTCTGAAGACCTATTTTCTATACCCCCTTTTTATTATAATGAGTGCTGCCCTTCATATACACATTTTCTGCCAAAGCAGGAACAGTTTGGGGTATTTTTCATGACATTTCTGCAATGGACCCTTCGCTAAGCTTTTGTTACTGTTAATACACAGACAAGCTTTGGGTTCTCGCATGGCACATCTGCAGTTTACAATAACTGTCAGATTTACCACTCTAAATTCTTAGCAAGTCATTTTTTAATAAATGAGACCTACATTTCAGACAGCAATATCTTCTTATTTCTACCCCACAACATTTCTACCCCGATTTTGAAGGCTCCAATGACAACTGTGGCTGATTTTATCAGCCTCCTGCTCAACTACAGCTAAACGAAGGAGCGGACCGTTGACTTCAGGAAAAAGGAGGCAGAGACAGATCATAGAGAACCTGACATGGTCATCTCACATCTCCACGCTGGTAAAGAGAGCTCAGAAAAGGCTATATTTCTAAAGGAAACTTAAAGGAAAAATTTTAGTGCCAAGCTCTTATGAAGGAGCAATACAAAGCATCCTGACGGGAAACATCACAAACAGCAGTTGTAGTATTATAGGTACTGTAGGTATGATTAGGAGAAAATGTAGGACCAGACTCTTATTTCATTGTATTATTACTCAATTTGGCTGCTTAGCTCACACACAAATGATTGTATTGTCAATGCTGACTGTTGCTTATTTATGAATATTTAATATATAGAAAAAGATTATCAGTATTTGAAGTCAGAGGCTTTAATAAAAGTTCTGACAAGCAGAAGTAACTATATTTACCAGAATTCAAACATCTGCAACAGCACACATTACCTGACAGTATGGGTTTAGTTTTGAGATGTTAAAACCTTCATACATTTGATGGATTATTATACAGAAATGTAAAATAATCTCCCATTTATAAAAGTGGTTTAAAGGTTATTTCAAAAAGGCGTTCTGACATTCTTATCTCTTGGGAAGGGTGACATTTTTAAGTAGTGATTTTGACACACGTCTTGTCTGGTTGAGAAACAGAACTACGAAGCGGTATTAAAAACAGTGCTGGGTCATTGGTCATTGTGAAAGCAGGACTTTGTTCAAGAACCCTTTCCCCTCTGGCCATGTCAGCAGCAGACTGATAAATATATAATCCTGCTCATTTATGCCACAAGGCTGGTGTGTACGGCGAGGAAAACACACAACAGGCCGACCTGTGGCGCAGAAAGCTTCCATCGCTTTAAGTTAAGGATGACTGTGTTGTAGTTTGTTACAGGCTGCTGGCGAGGGAATTACTGGCAGAGCCGCCGAGCCATCTCCAAGTCATCAGTTTGATTTAATGCAAACACCTGAGCAGATACATTTACGTCAGCCTGCTCGTCGCGTGTAAAATCAGCAGCAGCTTTCTAAAATTATTCTGGGGCTCGGTGGTTATTTTGGGGTTGTGGGCTTTTACAGTTGGGACATAAAGACTTTATTAAGCCGTTTGTACAGCCAGGCCACTGTGAGGCTGTTACCCATAAGTACTTGCCACAAGTTGTATACAATTCAGCCACTGTTAGCGGTACATGTATTTCTGCAGCTGAGTACATTCACTAAGAAAGCTTTGAGTTAAGAGCAGTTCATTGCGTTTAAAGCGGGTCTTTCTTTCCTGGCCACTTGTTGAGGAAGGAACCCAAAGCAAGCAAGAAGCATTTGGCGCTTTTAAAGCTACTTAACATGCAACGGAAATAACACTTTTATTTCAAAAGTACTTTTAAACACAGAAGCGCTCTCGTCTACAGCCAGCCTTTTGATGCTTTCCAGAGATCCTTTTTACTGCACCTGTGTTTGCCGACTGGATTGATCTCGCTTTGCTTGAGCGCATTAATATGGCACATTTTGATGACAGGGTTGGAATCTCTTCCTCCCTGCCTAAGCATTACGGCATCGCAGCCGGAGGGAACTGGGTCGCCCTTAATGGCCGCTGGCACAATGGAGAGCTGAGCAATTCATTCCAGCCACTGGCAGCACATTCCATAATTAAGATAATTAAAAAAAGAGAGAGGGGAAAAGTGCAACTGCAATTCTTCAGTAGTGGGCACGCATGCTGGCACAGTGTTCCAGCTGGCTTGTTTACTCTCTAGGCAATGTCCGTAAAGGAGGAGCAGCAAGGACACACCGTCCTCGGAGTTATATTGCTAGCCAAATTAGCATGATAGGCTGGCTTTGGCTCTGCAGCAGGTGCTGGTGGGAACGTGGCCAGACCACCATACAGCTACTCTTCTCTTTGTGGGCTGCAGTGTTAGTAGCTTCTGCACCTCCTGTGTCAAGTCAGTGAAAACAATCAAGATATGGGTTAATAGGAAAGGTCATCTGTGCCCCCCCCAATCTGTCCAGACAGCAGGCAGGGGTCCCACCCTGGATCCCAAGCATCAGTAATGCCCGTCAAGCCTCTAGAAATGAACTGGTCTCTGCAGCAGCCCTGAGAATATAACTACTGTGGCACGTTCCCAACACTCCTCCCCGTGTCTACCTGTCCGCAGCTTTGCCTCCATCACCCAAATTGAAAGCGGTCACCCCAGTGTTTTTAACAAGCTGTGAAATTGCTATTAGTCTGAGGGCTAATTAAAGTTGCAGCAAATATCACAGCTTGTGAAGCCACTAAAATTATATTTTAAAGTTTTAAACCAAAAATTATATACATAGAGCTATGAAATCATGGAGAAAGTAAATCATAAATAAAAAAAGGGGAGTATTATGTCTATATAACCATAAAGAATTAAAAATGGGAAAGGAACACTGCAGCAATGATGCAGCAAAACAGACTCCTCCTGCTCACTTTGAAGTGCACTAATGCCCTGCGTATCCTGCAGCTAGAGCCTGGAACTCCTCAGACAGTACACACAAAATCAGCTAAGAGGTGGAGAGATTAGTAATAGTCACATTATTCATCAAGAATGATATAGTTAAGGCCTTTATCGAGCCCTTTGCCTGTGTAGCTACTGAATGCAGATGTGGGATGATGTGTTTGAGATTTTTTGGTTCAAACTACATTGCTGGTTTAGGTTTCAGAACCGTGTGATTGGCTGGAGGATTAATGTCAAACATAAAAACCCACCTATCTGGTAGTCTAAGAAAAAACCCAAGTATTTGGCATGATGTCAGACATGGGCCAAACTGCATTTGCAGTGGGTAAAGATGCAAAATTAGCAAATCAGCATGCAACTTTTGGAATGTGGTGCTGTGCTGGAAAGGATCAGGTCTGAGAAACATCCTGTTCTTTATAATATAGAAATTACAGACCCGATGAGTTCTGATGATATGTGAATGTGAGATTTAAGTCGCAGGGAAACCCTGGAAGACAGCTGTGATTTCATGGATTCCTCAGCAGAGCGGCACACCACTCCACTCTGCTCAGTCAGCCTTTGATGAGCTGTTCCGTCAGCTCCTCCCGTGACCCAATTTCACTCCCACTCTGCTCTCCCAGACCCATCCAGCATCTCTGCACCACTCCCTCAACACCTCTGTCTGACACGAGCTAATGGGATTAGGAAAAGAACAGTTTTCGCTGAGGAGCCTCTCCACATACACAGCTGTTACAGGGGAAATGAACCTTGTGTTCATGTGTTCTGACCACAGTGGGTAGAAATCACTTGACTTCAGTCATTTTTGGTTTTAGCACTTAAATATAAAATAGAACAAATGGAATGTGACCTTTGTCTGGACAGTCACATTGAAATTCATGCGACTCCGGCGTTACTCTAAAGCTACCATTGTCACAATTCTGCGCTAGCTGGTGCTGCGTTGACCACAAACAGCAATGGAGGGGGGTCAGTGGACTCTTTCCTAGTCATCATCTACTCCCAAATTCCCTTTTGTCAACCTGGAATCAACTTTCAAAAAAAAGCGTAGGCGCTAACCTCTGTGGTCTCCTAGTTGACTTTGGTAAGACAGCGTGCGACGTCGTGTTATTCTTTTGTGCATGCAAGTCACTTTCAGACTGGGGCCGGTTCACACCATAGTCTGATAGGGGCCAGTCAATCAAATCTTCCTATATAGTGTCTTTATTGAAGTTATTGCAATGGTGGCAGAAGCCTGCTATACCATTCTCTAAGGGTGCTATCCCTCAGCAGATCATCCACAATAAAGAGGAAGTTCCCTTTCAAAATAAACCACTAACCTATCCATCACGATGCTCCATTGCTGCTGGCCAAACCACTTGAGCAAAAGAACACAAACTTGAGGAGAGGTGGGTGTCAGGAGCACATGAGCTTGAGGGTAAACATTTTACCTTCTGGGCCACAACTCCTCGATGGCAGTTATAAAAAGGAAAAAGAGAGCTGGCCAAGAATAACTAACCACAAAGACATGAAGGTGTGGCACACCAAGGAAACACTGATGCAATGTGACTTAAAAGTGACTTTAAAAGCTACCGTGTGATGCAGAGTCTCAGTTCATAATGTGCCTTCAAGTCAGAGCATGAGTGTGAGTGAGACAAACATTGGAGAACACAAACATGTTTATCCTCTCTGGGAAGGGAAAAAAAAAAAAAAAGTCTGAGTTTACACTGAACCAGAATAGATTTGCATTTACCTTCGCTTAAGTTTGAACATTAACCTAAAATAAATTTGATTTGTGAGAGTCCAAAACAAAATTAAAAAGATAAGTGTTCAGTCCTCCAGGAAAACATGCTAATGTATCACTGAAAAAGACACCCGAAGTTGAGCTGAAATAACACAGATGCGTACTTTTTCACAGCAGACAACTTGTTAGAGTAGCAACTGCACGGGTGTTATTTATATGTATTATATATTTAAGTTCTGACAATGAGCCAGCAACTGAAGCAGCTAAATGGAATTCAGCCATCATTCATTTTATTATATACACCTGTGCTTTGCCTACTGTGGCATGTCAAAATGTCTTCTGTGAAAAGGGCCTTTTGTGATTCTAGTCGTAAAATGTTAAAGCAATGAGTGTAATGTAGAGCATCTGCAGATACTGCAGCCTCTATTCAACAAACCCCACTTTTCAGTTCAACTTCCTGTTAGGCTCCAACTGAACTGTTGGAAAGATCAGATCATTTTTCATGACAACTGAGAAAAGCTCAGCTCAAACTTTGTTCTTCATTTTGGAACACCTGTCAGACGTGCACTGATGTGGCACGATTGTTTCTGATCTGACATGACCCTGTCAACTGCCCCATATTAGTCAGATACATTTTTTGTAATGTAATGAAGATATTTCTTTTCTGCATGTAAGGGTTTATATAGAGCACCGAGGCCTTGTTCAGACCGCCTGCCCAAATCCGTTTTATGGCGTATCCAGATTAATTTTAGAAAGTCTGAACAGCACAAAACCACATGCCATATTTGAAGGGGGTTTGAAATCTGATTTCTCAGCTGTCTCATTATGGAAGTTCTGGCTGTTCAGATTTTTTCAAATCAGAAATTATAAATAAAACCAAACAGTATGTGCCTATAGTCTTGTCTTAAAAATATATTGTCCTGTTCTGCACTGCAAATTGGCGCGACTGTTTGGCGGGCCAGATGATGGACCTCCATTTCTCAAGATTCCGCGCTGGAAAGTCGCATCACCAGCGTACATTCTTACCGATGCCCATGCAGATAGGTCTGGACACACAAATGCAATGTGATCACTTGCAAATAACAGTGCGGACAATCTGTCCTAAACATCTGATTTGCCTGCAGTCTGAACAGAGCCTAACTGACAGTCTTAGTGGGACCTGTAAGCAAATAAACACAAGCTTTAACAAAAAAAATGTAAAAAAAAAAGATAAGGGGGGGGGGGGGGGAATAGGGCCCGACAAACAGTCACAAATATATAGGACTCAAACAGCAAAGTGCCAATCAACTCTCAGAGGGAGACAGACATACACAGGGTTAATTTACTGAGGAGGAGGAAATTTGCTTGTATAGCCAAAGTGAGTGACAGCACAGCCTTGGTCACTATAAATATACATGAACCTATTTACCAGCCAGGCCAGGCCTCCTGCAGACTAACATTGTCTTAGGGCCAGCTTCTGTCTCAAATTGCAACTTCTCTCTGAGGTTGAAATAGCAGTGGACCATTGGCTGATTGGTAACCCAGTGACAACTCCACACTGTGTCCAGGCTTTTGACATTTGACTGTAAAAATTCGGGAAAAAAAGACAAACTATTCTTTTTGCTGTACCTCGAGTCAGTCGCTGCCTTAGGGAAGTATAAAGGAATCCGAGACAGAAACTAAATAATGAGGAGCTTCTGGCCAAATAAGCATGGCTGTGTATGGTGTATGTTCGCTGGATGAGTCATAGCTTGTGTTTGGGAACAATTGAAGCCCTCGTCACTCTGACGTGTCAGGATAATTGAGGCAGCGGCTTCTCTAAACGGCTGCTGGTCAATCAGCCGGGAGCCTGGCCATATAACAAGTGAGCCCCCTTCGGTTCTTCGTCAGGCTGAAAGGAAATATTTACCCTGATCGCCACAGAACCTAAGCTGGCTCCAGAGTAAATAAACATCCACTCAGGCAAGACAAACTGAATAGCTCTCAGAGCTTTGGGTACAGTCACCAGCAGCAGCTATTAAGAGCGTCCTCAGAGCGGAGCTTCAGCAGTCCATTTACATGGAAATTTGCTCTATAATGCCGCTTCTACGTTGACAGCTGGTGGAAAATTTGAGTTTTCATGACATTTTGACAGAATGACTGATAACACTCTTTGGCAGTTTCTCAATCTATCTAACCGGCAATCTTTTTTACTTCTCTTTACAGTTTAAATATGCATCACACACACTTGTGGGTTTGAGTAATTTTTTTAAGACAAAAGATTTGATACAAGATTCTTAAATATGAATTGTTCTGGTTTCTACTCCTCTATGACAGTAAACTTAATATCTTTGGGTTATGAACAAGACATCTGAGGACATTGTGTTTCCCATAGCCCAAGATAGAGTTACCATTTTACAGAGCAAACAACTAATCGATTAATCAAAAGAAATTATCGACAACCCTACTTTAATGAGCAATCCATCAATTTAGCATTGCATCCTAAACATTGCCAATAGTCAAAGTTTAAACAAAAGTAGAACCAGATATAATCTTGTCAAATAGTCCTTATCAAAACCTGGCACCCGCATTACCCACAATGCACCTCAACCGCCAACAGCTGGGTCGAAGTGACATCACCTGAGGCAATTTATCAGGTTTTGCACAGTTCCCTCTGGAACCATCAACAGCTTTATACAACCTCTTTCACATGTTCAGTAGTACTCCCAAGAGCTGTAAACAGAATGATGTAGAAATCGGTGGAGTGCCCCTTTAAACAACTTAGCATCACAATCCATTACAAAGTTCTGTATAGTTTTCTCTGGTTTTTGAAAGTACCTGATCCTACGTATGCTGATTGCTTCTTACATGAAAATGATAAAACCAGGAAAATTTGAATCTTAACTCCGCATCACTTGACCTTGGAAAATATAACTGTAAGTATGTCCCATAACAATTTAATTGTTTTAAGTTTTCCGAAAGCACAAAAACTTTCAAGCATGTTTACTTTTCAGAAATTAATCATATTTACCCTATAAAGGAAAAAAAAAAAAAAAAAAGCTATGGCTTCATGGTTGTCTTATTTCTAAGCCTCCAGCTCATCTTCCCAGCCCTAGATCCCCCCCACCCCCTTGTGAAATGCTACCCACCCAGTTTGGGAAAGACGATGAGGTATTCTGCGTTGCATTGTGGGCAGGCCACACGGGCCGTGCTGTTGCCCCGCTGCTTCTCATCCACCCAGCGCTGCAAGCAGGACTGGTGAACCCACTTGGTGGAGCCGCGGCAGCGACACGGACGCACCCACTCTGCTGTGCGGTCGTCTTCGTCTGTGGCAAAGCATACCCAGCAACTCCTGAAAAACAAACACACACCCCCCCCCACAGGTGAAGACAATGACACATTCACACACCCTGATAACTGCAAAAAAAGGTTACAGATATCTAAATGAATATTTTTGGTAGTTGCATTACAGTTTTACACTAGCGTTCGATCAATATGGGTTTTTCCATGGCCAACACTGATATTTAGAGTGCAGGGTGGCCGATGGCTGATACACAGTGTCGATATCAAAACAGAAAAGTCATGTATAATTTCATTATTTCATGCAGAGTACAATGTACATGTTATCTTAGCCATTCATGTGTCATTTTAGATGACAATGAAATAGAAAAAATACAATTGGTTTTGCTGTAGATTTCAGAACGTGACTGGTGTTTAAGAGTGGGGTACATTTTGTCGGCTGCATTATCCTATACAGTATAACTATATATTTAACACTAGCCAGTAATTGTTTTACATTAGATCTGCGATTTAGGATGGGAGGAATGTGTAAACATTTAGAAAAGATGACTTAAGATATTTAGGCAAACATTTGCTGCAGGATGCACGAGTTACAGTAAAAGGCTCCAAACTCACTTTTTCACCACCTCCCCAAAACTCGCAACGGGGATCGCCAACATTGTTCAAGAGCAGCCACACTGACCACGCTGCCTGCAGACATTTCCTGTTCAGCCTTGAGTGGATGCATCGGCCAATGCAGAGGGTCTTAAAAAGGCCAGATATCGGCCTGATTAATTGGCCAACCAATTAAATCTGTCCATAACTAGTTCTGACTGTTCTACTGGCCAGAAAAAAGAACTGTCTACAACCGTAGATTCTGTGGTGAAATTACAGGGAGCCAGGGGGGTCTTTGCACCCCCAAAGGGAGCCAAGTTCCCACAGAAGCAACAAAATTAGTTCTGAAACAAATTAGCTATGAAACTAAAAGGAGGTGGTCTTTATTTTTTTTGTAATGTTTGGCAATAGGCGCAGTGGCTTAATAAAGTCAGTCTCTCTCCCTCCTCCTGAAGCCGTCTACGGTTCTGACAGTGTTTTTATGACAGGCCTGATCTCACCATGGAATTTTAATAAAATGCTGTATTTCAGCTATATAGGCCAGTCAACTATGTTGTTGGTTTTGTTTGTAGGTTATGCTTTTTAACAGTGAGGCACATGTGTGAGCATCTGTTTGTATCTAGTAGTCTGGAGTCAAAGATCGCAAGCAAGACTAATCTTTCATGTCGTCGTCCCCCCCGAGTGGAAAACAGGCAGTCAGCAACACAAATTCACATCAAACAGTTAATAGTTTAGGCTTATTTGGAGTTCTTACTGGAAAAGTGTTGGTGAGGCCATTTTTCAGCATTTAGGGAACAATGACAGAGGTAGTGATCAAAGTCCCTCAAATAACTCCAGACTAAATGGCCTAGATGGAACACACATCACTCTGGGCCAGTGACTCCGCATGAAATCAGCCAGGATCAATAGATAAACCCTATAGGCAAACAATCCGTTAGGATGACTGCTTGTCAAACATATCTGACAGCACGGCAGGAACTGTTCAATGCACACACACGCCCATACAAACAGCCCTTTCATCCTGCCATCTGGAAACAAGGCAAAGAATTTCCAGGGGATTACATTTCAGATCACATCAGTGACAAGATACCATTTCTTATCAAAATCAATACTTTCTGTTATACTGTTTCTCTTGTTACTGAATATGACCACTTGCTTTGCATCTAGTTGGCTCTACATTCTTTTGACACTGCCTTGAAGATCAATCACATTGTTACTTGAGCCTATGTTCACCAGGGCACCCCTGTGCACATGAACACTATATTCTGATAAACCATAGCTAGTATGTGCAGTGAAAGCAGAAGGGGGTTTGGTTGCAGAACACTGAGACAACGCAGTCTCCCTTCTATGTGACAACCAGAGAAATGCCCTGTTCTGGCCACAAGCCAAACCATATTTTAACATCCCCCCTCCTGCCCACAAGTATCCCAACACATCCTCATTCCTCTCCTCCCACACACAGTGAAGGTCCTTCTGAGTAAACTGTTCTTCTGCTTTAAAAAAAAAGGGTATGAGGCAGGAAGAATCTGCCTCCTCAAACGTATGCCTCCTCACAGGAAAGCAGCAATTAGTATGTTTGGCATGTCTGCGGTACTATCTTCTAATTAATTGGGACTCCTATTGTGAACAAATACATCCAAGCCCTCCTCTTCTCCATGTTTGTCCAACATCTGGGAGGTAATTTGATCCAAGTTCCCTGACCTTACCACAGTACATCTCTTACTGTGACATTATATTCCTTTTCCATAATTAATCAGCAGCATGCGACTGGCTGGAAGGTACCCCACCCCCGTGTCTCACTGCATGGAGGCCGAGTTCAAGAATCTAGACTGGTGACTTTCTTATCTTTGCTACTATGTACCAAGAAAATAGTCATAGGTTAGACCTGAATAATTGATTTGAGAAAATCAGTAACACCAGGTTCCCAAACTATGACTAGAAGTCCTATTGGTTCTGATAAAAACTAACAAATGCATTTTTACACCAGTGGGATAATTGTTGAAATTAAACCAAATAACCAACTACATTGAAAATGGCAAGATTTCATTTAAGCCACGTTCGCATTCAATTAGGCCTGAGGCCAGCTTGTTGCATTTACAGCCTGACAATCCGTGTGTGACATTTACAGTCTCATTTTCATGATTACACTGAACCTTGAACAGTTGGCATTTCACTGGATGAATGAAACAATGATTAGTCTACACACACCTCCCATAGTTTATATTCATTACACAAAGTGAATTATTTCAAGCGTCCACCCCCCCCAAATTTTAAATCTTGATTATGGCTTACAGCTCAAGAAAATTAATTCCAGTATCTTGCCGTATCTCTTCCCTGCCAGGGTTTAGTCAACTAGATGCCTTCTTCCCGCCTGTGGAAAAAAAGAAAATACCAAATTGTTTCTTGGAGACAGAGGTTGGTGAGTTCTCTTCACTTCAGAGCAAACTTTTGTTGGCGGCCACCTCCAACAGCCCTTCTACACTGGCTTTATCATTTGAGTAGTCGACTCCACGAATCCCCACAGTACACACCATGTATATTTCAACCCTTACTCCCAAAAGGTGAATAATGGATGTCAAATCTGTGGCCTTCTGTCATAGTCATACTGTGGGTCTAGATGTGCTCTGTTACTGGGGCGTAGAGGGGGCTCATCTGTGAAAGACTGGAAGGCCAACTTGGATTATTTGCTCAGGTTGCTGCCTGCCTGCAGTGGATGATTTTCCAGTACTCCCCTGATGCTGAATAAAACATGACTATGCAGGAGAGAAGCCTTAGGGTCGAGGCGCTCCGGTAACATGGCCAGCTTAAGGGACACATGTGGTGAATCTGAGTCAGGTGGTGAGCTCTATAAGGACCGGAGACAGAAGTGATGAAGTCGTTTCCATCAAACGGCCCACCACATCTTTGCTTTTGACAGGTATGCGAGCCTGCACCATACTCAAAAAAATCTCTTTTTCCATGTCTTACACCAATATCCCCAAAACAGCTCAGAGGCTGAAACCGATGCAACTATAAAACATGACTATAAGAAGTTGAGTACAACAGTGGACAGATGTCTCCACAGGAGCAAGACCGAGGAGAACAAAACCCAGCGCTCCCTTTCGATTCCTGTAACCCAGCCCCGCAGCATGACAGGACCTAATACAACAGCATCGAAATGCTATCCTCTGTGCGAAACCTTAATCTCCAGCTCGCTGTTGCCTCAGCCCTGTTTAACAGAACACTGGGGCAGATAAGCCTGCGCTGCACATGCACAAAAAGGTCTCCTGCATACAGAGAATTCATGTGCAACACAACATGAAAACTGGCTATAAATTAAAAATAGACAGTAGCAAAAGTCTGATAAACCAGTGTTTAAAAACCTAACTCAGACTTACTGATTCATATGGTGGAGCAGGTACTTGTTATTCTACAAAGTCTTTACAACAAGCAACACCTGCAAAGTGCCAAATGTAAAAACAAAACTGAGTCTCTCTACTATGTTTTGTTGTCAGTTTGACACCCACCCTCCAACCCCGTGTGCATTTTTATACACATCAACATTGCCGCAGAAACGACCTTCGAGCGCTCCTAGTTCTGTGACACCGTTTACCATACAGGAAATTAGATACTGAGCTAAACTATCACTAACCACCGGTCTGCTGCTGCAACCCGGTATCACACCAAAGCATGTAATACACACACCTCTCCACCATGGCAGTCATATTTTCACATTTACAATACCTTCTTTTTCTGCATTCAGTTAGCAATAATAAATGTGACGTCTGGGGCACCATGGTAGTCTAATGGTTAAGCTGCATACAACATAACCGCAACGTCCATAGTTTGAATTTGTGCCACAGCACCAGTTAGCTTTAGGCAACAGGACTACTTTGTTAGTTTTAGGAAAAGATTATGGTTTGAGTTTAAGTATGTCCTTAAATCAATGTTGACTATTTGTTTCACACAGGAAAAGAATTCCTCCTCCTGTGTTTGACCCAATACTTTTATCATTTAATCTTTAAGTTTATTATATTTTAGTTTAACAGCAAATACTTCAGTCAAATGTTGAGATCAAGACTTCTTAAGTTGTATTCAGGCTTTAAAGTGAGTAACAGTTGTTTTTTTTAATTTTGTTCCTACTTTTGCTCCGGCCACGTACGATTGTAGTCAACATAATACCTTATTATCTCAATGAAATATTGTCAAACAAATGTATGAGTGACTAAAAGGCATTTTATTATTTTGGCCAGTGGATTTTTTTGCCCCCCCCCCCCCCCCCCAGTCCCCTTAGGCCAGTGAGTGAAAGTTAAATTTCAGACACTGCTCACATGTGACTTAAAACGAAGCCCAAACCTACAGACACATGATGTTGACAGATGCGACCACACCTGACACATTCCCCTCTTACTGCTCAACAACATCTGGAAGGTTTCCATGAAAATGTCCTTTAAAGAACAGGAGATCTGATGATGGCAA